GGTAGGTATGGCGTAAATTTCAGCTCTTGGTACACTAGGTACATATAATAAAACCGAATAAAACTTACACCCGCACAGCACAATGTATACCTGCATGCGTATATTAAGAAATTGGTATACCTACAGCTTTTATGGTCGTCAAAAAACGAACGAAAACGGCTTCTGAAGACGATTGCTACAAGTAGATGTTTACTCACCATAAATTAGTATTTCATAACGCCAACTAAACTAAACGTTTGTGGCAGTTACAAAAACGTAATTAAGCAAGAATATCAAATTCAATGCATCAGTTTTATAACTGCAGCGAAAACGCTATCTGCTGTTATTGTACCTATGAAAATCTACAAGCGTTTAGCAAATATGTCTAATTGCCCTTATCCACCACTTCTAGAAAATCGATTTTACTTAACACAGTATATGAGATTATTGTCATAAATTGATAACTAATTGAGGCAAATAAAAAGACATTTATTGTAATTAAAATATTTTCAGGTAGACACTTTGATTATATTATTTCTCTCAGTGTGCATTTTTAATAAATAAATACGATTTTGATATTTCTACCAAAATTCACAATATTACATTTATTGTTTCCAGGTTTTTTTTTACATAAGTATGTAATTACTAGTTAGTTTACGGTGGTAATTACTTGGTGCCCCATTCCTGGTCGAGTTCTTCAGTATTCACCAATAACAGGCAACACATCATACATTTAGTAGGTTGTTTTTGTCGAAAATGTAACTATTTTTATAAATAAATTTTTGTCGATTTATGTCGATATGGTTTTTTAGTGACGCAGTGCAACTGAAATACGATAATAAAAAATAAAAGTATTCATTCCATCAGTTTTTGCTTATTTTGTTCTGTTATACATTTTGCTGGGCTAACTATAGCAATCATAATTTTGGTTTGTAATTTGTAGTTTTTGAATGTTTTTTAGAAAGACTGGTCACGCCCCAGATGGTATAGTCTTTTTTAGTTAATTTGTTAAATTGTATTAAATTTGCAGGTGTCTCTTTTGTTAAATTTTATTACCTTTTAAGATTATTGTTAGGTATTATTTTTGTATAAAGCTGGACAGGTGTAATAAAATTAATGTGTTTGACAATAGAACAATTGCTAACATGTTGTTTACTTGAAGATAGCTGTCTAACTTGGTAATAGTGCACGTGTTACGAAATGTGCCGCGCCAATTTATGTCATTACAGTAGGTAATTGAATTATACAGTTTTTCCTCATCCTTATGTGACGTTTTGAAGTTTCTAGTCACGTTAGGTTGTTTGTGTTCTCACTCGCATTTTTAGGGTTTTTGTGATTGTTTAAAAAATACAAAGATCGACACGGCACACGGAACAACCAGCGCAACTTTTTCAATCACTTTCCGACATGATCGCTCTTGAATCTACAGGGCTTCCTACCAAAAATGGAGGAACTTAATCTCCTCAACTTAGGCCACCACAGTTCTACGGTATCCACTCATCAATGGAACCTCCATAGGTGCTTATTTCACGCGATGTACAGGGGCACTCGGTTTGAGAAAGGTAACAGTCAGCACGATACATGCACAATGTGCACGTGTTAATGTGAACGACGCCTTGAAAATCCTAGTATGTCCTAACATACTCTCTCACACAGCGAGATCTAATCAGGATTGAATAGTAATTTTGACGCTACAAAAAGAGCATAAAGTTCCGCGACATTCACACATTCACTGTAAATTACATGCGCTGGGTGTGGCGAGGACTATCCGTACCGGGTGACCCAATAAGACTGTACCTCGGCCATATCTCGGCCGTTCGTCGTGACTTAGGGGTAAAAAAAATTATTGGGTAAATCGGAAAATGAAGAATCACTGGAAAATATTTTCAAGTTCTAAAAATGACCATCAGAGGGCGTAACTGCCATCTCAAATTTTAAAATTGCATTTTCTTTAAATTTCGCATAATAAACTAAACATTTTTTTTCACATTTTTAAAGAGAACCAGTTTATCTATCATTTTCGTAAAAACAAAAACTCAGTTATTTCAAAAACAAAAATGGTGTGAGGCGTTCAATTGTTATTGCAGTAACCTGCTTTAACTTCTTAACCGTTACACCGATTTTAAGAAATTTGGTATGGTTGAAAAGACCATTTGTTGGGCAACAAGAATCAACCAAAACATAGTTAATTTAGTTGAATATTAAATATAAAAATAAAAATAAATATTAAATGCTTCTTGGTTAGAAATCGGCATTTTAGAAAAGATTACAAATTCAAAAAACTGCACTTTCTGAATGCGTAAACACAGCAGAATAATTTACAAATTAGGCTGTTATTATTTTATAATGCATCGTGTTTCATTTGTTTAATTTTCCAAGGCCTACCTAAAAGTGTAGGGTCCTTTTCCAAACAATCTTTCGCGCCATCGACAAATACCGGAAATACGTCAAATAAGATACAATTTAAGCATTTTTATAATTTTATTAATTAATCTCATTTTCCCAATATTTGAGGTTAGGAACGAGATTTTGAAAAACGGTTTTCACTGGCCTCTTTGGTGTTATTTGGCTACTTTTTCATAAAGAAAAAGTCATATCATTCCATTTGATTTTTTTAGGATTTTGGATCATAGTGTCAAAACTAGCCCCCTGGCGGAGAAGGATTCAACTAAATTAACTATATTTTGGTTGATTCTTGTTGCCCAAGGAATGCTCTTTTCAACGATACCAAATTTGTTAAAATCGGTCAAACGGTTAAGAAGTTAAAGCAGGTTATTGCAAAAACAATTGAACGCCCCACGCCATCTTTGTTTTTGAAATAACTGAATTTTTGTTTTTACGAAAATGATAGATAAACTGGTTCTCTTTAAAAATGTGAAAAAAGAATGTTTAGTTTATTATGCGAAATTGAAAGAAAATGCCATTTTAAAATTTAAGATGGCAGTTACGCCCTCTTGTGGTCATTTTTAGAAAATATTTTCCAGCGATTTTTCATAACCGATTTACCCAATCATTTTTTTACCCCTAAGTCATACGACGAACGGTTCCCGAGATATGACCGAGGAACACTCTTATTGGGTCACCCGGTACAACCGTGCAAGCTTCTGGTCCCTGCATCTCCGTGAAGTTTAGCAGACTTGAGCTCATTTAGAGCAGAAATCGAAAAACGTTTTTTTATAATTTTTTTATAACAAAAGGACCTTTATATCGAGGTTTAAGTCTTCTAGTCCATCCATCTTTGGAGACCGCACTGGCTTGAACCACCACATGTTGGCCAACTACGTATTTCGTAACAGGGGCATGCCTTGTTTGCTAGATATCACCATAGATGACACCAATATCAAGCAGCGCACCGGCGCAGCGCTCCTTGCACGATGACAAAGCATGATCCAAACCCAGCCGAGCAAAGTGACGAACCTGTCTTGGAATCACTTGGTTATCAAACGATGCGTCTGGCGTCCACAAGTACGACGTTCCTACGCAAACTGAACGATGTTAGCAACGTAACGACGATATAAAAAACCGCGCGATGCTCTGCTCGCTACCGGACGCTGTGTAAGTAATACGAGAAAGGGGGGTCCTCTAATTAATTTTCTTGTGTTCAGTATGTGGTTCTATTTGGAATAATTCACTTTAACAACAACAAAGATATGCAATTTTGATGTTTTTCATGTACACGCATTTTATCATTTTACGAGTTGTTATGTCTAAATTGATCCTAGGTGTGCTTTTGTGATAATTTGATTTATCTTTTTTTCCATTTGTATCCATGATATCGTGTGTTTCGAAAACGAAAAAAGACAGCGATGTCAAACCTTCGTCAATCGATTTCTACGAATTCAAGGATCAGTGCTATTGAATATGAGCCGGACTAAAAGTTTGGTTTCCGAATGCGAGCTGAGTGGCAAAAATTCCCCTACTGATAATCGGATGCCATTATTCGTATTTTGTTCATTAACTTGTTTAACTGCATTTGACTCGATTACCTGATGTACAGGGTGCCTCATTAATAAAGGTCACCGGACATATCTATGGAACCGTTAATTGCACAGCTTCGGGAAAAAGATTTTGTCAACAAAAGAGGTCAAGAGAATTCGCTGGAAGCTTCTAGGTTTGCCGCTAGAGAGTTTACGATTTATGGATAAGTAGAAAAATGACTTTTTCCTAAAATATACCCAACAAACATGCGTTAAAATACATGCATCGCAATCTTGTATGAATTTTGCATCATTTTGATACAGCTCATATTGCTCGTATCTCATAAAGTATGAGGGGTGGAGGAACGGGAATATCTCTTTGAGGAATTGAATGTAACTTCGATTTACATTAACCGATTTTCACATAATAGGTCTTGTTAGAAAGAGCTGTCTTCGTGTTGTCAGATTTTATATGAATAGTCTTTTTAGTAAATGCGTTGAGTGGTAGATGGCGCGATGTGATATTAACATAAACTTTGCAGATTTTTTTGAAAATTTTAAATGAAATGATATAATTATTATATGATATTATCAAATAAGAGGAAAAGTGAATCTATCAGTGAAAACCGCATTTTGATATCTGTTTCCTAGGCAGAGATATCGCGAAAATACGCACATATACAAATTTTAATTAATAAAAATTAGATAGATTACGCACACAAGGCCAGGGGAAAGTCCTTCATTGGACAAAAAACTGTTATAAACACACAAATACAAAAAATAAATCAAGTACGGACAACATAATTAGGGGGTCCCCTTCTCACATTGCTAAGACACGACAGCTGCATTCCGCGCGAGATGAGGAAGCAAGATATTGCAGGGAAGAATCGGAACTGTAGGTATGAATACTTTCCCCACGGACGAAACGGTTAGTTGACACATACAGGTGATACAGGGCAACATCACACCGATAATATGCTCCCACGCGAATACATCAATAAATACTTAAAAAAATAATATGAAACAGTACTCCCAAAATTAAAAATCGAATGCAAAAAAAGATCCGCATCTCGGTACCTTTCTTTTTTGATATAATAAACCAAACAGATTGCAACAATTGTATTGTTATGCTCAGGAATTATTCAGAATGTATGAATGAAAACAATTGTATTTACAATTATCTCTAACAACATAAAGGTTGTGGTAAGTGAATGGTGAAAAGTCAGATTCAGATCCATTTATCCATTGCGCTTGGTCCAGTTTTTTTTGTTTAGTAAATCCTCTACGCCGTCGCAGCCGGTTCGGTCGTAGCAGGCGCCGTAACTCCTGCCGTGGTGGTTGTAACCATAGATTGAGCATCGGATACTCCTTCTTCCTTAATTGCCAGCCATGGTAATCTCTTTTGGAGTTCCATTCTGAAACGTAAAACGTTTGTTAACTTGTATTTGTGCTGCCTCGTTGAATTTACCTGTAACGTGGGTGACTTAAAGCGTATACGTATGGGTCTAGACACGCGACAAATTTGCACGTCAACGCCGGTATCATAGTAATCCCTGGAGTGAGAAGTGACTGGTCGCCGAAAGCTCCAATCAAAGAAAGAACTGCGTATGGTGTCCAAGAAGCAACAAACAGGAAGCACACCATTATGGCAACTTTGGCAATTTTGATTTCAACCGATTGAGATTGCGCGGCTTGGTTGCTTCTCAAAGATTCTACATTCATCTTTTTGGCCTACAATTTCAATATTAATAGTATAGGTACCTATCCCCATTATAATCGTGGGCTAACTTGATCACGCAAAGCCTTCTCATGGTGCATAACTTCTTTCACAATTTGACTGTAGAAATAAATGATAAGTCCCATTGGAATAACGTAAGAGCATATAAACAAAACAACGACAAACATATCATTGTCGAATGTGTCGGTCAAATAATCAAAAGAGCACGAGGTAAGGAATCCCTCTGAAATAATACAGTAACATTAAAGATTACCTTCCTTGAATTACCAACCTGGAACAAATCTCCCCCAAAACTCGAACATAGGCAGTACAGCCCATGGGAATGTATAGCACCAAATTATGAAAATCATCATCAAGGCTTTTGTGCGAGTTAATTTCCCTTCTAGCGGATTCGAAATAGTCGCGTACCGATCGTAGGCGATAAAGGCATTCGACATTCCGGCACCAATACCCGATAAGGATCCAACAAATCCAAATATTTGGCATCCAACGTGTCCCAAGGCGAAACCGCGATTAAACGAATTGTAAACGAAAATGGGCATTTTCATCATCATAATAATATCACAAAAGGCCAGATTGACTACGAACATATTGGAGGCGGTTTTCAAACTTTTCGATCTGAAATTAGCAAGCCGTTAGGGGTGCCGTGGGAAAGTAGCGACCGTGACTTGCGTCGAAAAAATCCAAATTACTAATCCGTTTCCGATGATGCCCATGGTCAGCATAAATATGTACAGCAAGCCGAGGAGGTAGTGGATGGAGGCCTCCGGTTCCGGGTAGGACAGCCAATGGACGGGAATGTGAATTAATTCGGATGCTGGGACGTTCCATCCCAGCAGCCGCACCCCCGTTTCGACAACACTAAAACTGGTCCTCAAAAGAAAACCGCACTGGGAAAACTATACTTACTTAGCGTTGATTTGTGCAGCCGCAATGACACTTGCGTTATGCACCAGCATGTCTTCATTCAAACATTTATTACATTCGAATTGAACGGGTGGTGAAATCTCCCTTTTTATATCGCACACAATCACGGCCTAATCAAATAACGGACGACCTTTAATTAATTACATTACGTAAGTGGATTGATTGAAAGATTTGTAAAGCGAAATACGCGCAAAACCTTAGAAATGCTTTGATCAGATTTAGTTTTTCATATCGCCACGTATTTACATAGATACCTTAATTTAAGCGTGGAAGTGGAAAATAACAATCATATGGAATCATGGGATCAGTTTTACCAGGTCACCACATTGTCAAATACAAGCGTTGGTATGTTAGGGTGTATTATGTTTTTATGTCACACTGGAACATTGTAGTCAAAGTCAAAGTAAGTATAAAACTATCCTTCAAGACCCATATCCTTTTAGTAATATTACCAACACCCGGCCCATGGTCAATAGGTGAACTGACACAGTGACGCCAGAAAAGCTTGACGTCTGCCGAGATCTTTATTTGCAAATTAAACTGCTTAAATAAATAAGAGAAAATCAAAATGGGATAATTAACCGCCAACTGAAATCGTTATGAATTTATGATACTCTTCAAAACTACCGAATTGACGGCGTTGGAAAATCAACAGAACCAAATTTTTTACCTTCACTTAATCTCCTCCCGAAACGTATTAATCGAGTCACTGTACGTTTTCGTCCAGATTGAAAAGATTTCTTCTGTGGATTAAATGGCGTCAGCTTTTCTGATGTCAAGGTGCGAATTTGTTGATAATAGCATACATTCGGCAGAGTTCAACGTTTTTCAACCTATGCGGGGTTTGCAACACGTAATGTACGCGTAGAATATTTTATTTCCTGCAAAAATAGCTTTTCTATTTTTAGTAGCCCATTAATTAATTTGCCGTCACTTAACCACTCGTATTCCGCTTGTTGCACAGAGTAAAATGTCAAGTATTTTCCAGTGCAAATTACGGCAATGAACTAACTATATATATTTTGCTTCTTCGCTGTTTGTTAGTACAAATTTTTATCGAGACACCCCGTACTTCGTATTGTTCCACACAAAAGCTTATTGAAACTTCTAGTTTTTTGTATTAATACCTTAACTTCCTGGAAGTTGGAACTATCCGATCGTGATTAACTTTCTTCAAAATGCTTTTACACTTAATTCACCTCTGTGCTTTCATTAACTTTTGCTCTTCTAGAAGAAGTATCTAGTTTGATTTGTGACGAACTGCGGTAGTTCGCACGCAACTACTGGGCTCCTGAAATTCTATCGTGATAAACAAAAATTTAATTAAAAGGAAGAAAACCAAAATATATCCAATTAAATAATATCAGACGGTGACACTCGGGCGTCACCAGAAGATTCAAAAACCCTGCTTCTGGTCAAGGTCCGCGGTAGCGGTAAGGTTTCGGAAGATCCAGATAAGCAGACCGATAACGGCGGTTGCAGATCGGTGTCGGAAGCTCCAGGTGAACTCAATCAGAGTAAACGGCAGCTCCGGGAATCAGACGAATTCAGCAAATGGTGGCGGTCACTACGGAAGAACCAACACAAAATTACGGCAACTTCCCTAGGGAAGTTGCCGGGAATGAAAGAAACAAAACACAAAGTAATTAGCGGTATCTACGGAAAATCAAATGCAGAAAAGCGAGACAGTATGCCCCTACTTACGGAAAGTATCAATTCAATACGATACTTACAAATGTAACTAGGAAAATAAAAGGTACAAAGATCTTACGTTTCGATTAAAAAACCAAAGGCAAAAAAACCCTCTAAATAATGGCTTTACCTTTTATAAAATTATGTCTTGCCATAGAGGGGACGCCGGTTTCCCAACCAGCCTACTGCAGTCGGATAAGAACTGCCATAAATTAAAACTTCTTTAATTAATTTCTCGACTTCTGGTCATCATAAAAATCGGGGACATATTCTAAAATCTCAAGTAAACGCGCTTCTAACGGAACCACTCCCCACTTTTTATGTCGTTAAGTTTTAGGTTGGCAGCGTAGTAAGACCATATATATTATATATGAGTAAGACTGACATTTTGAAGTTCAAACATGAAGTATAACCAACGAAGTACCTACTTGTACTAACTAGTAACTGCCAACTTAAGAGATGAGTTACCAAAAAAAAACGACTATAATCACTGTCTTTGTACAACTGTTTTTGGCCGAAAACAGTTGTACAAAATCATCATTATGACACCGAAATAGAAAAAAACATTTTCCAACAACCATTTGAACGTTGGATAAGTATACCTACTTAGGAGCGAGGTAGTAGAGTCGGCAGACATACCTACATACTAAAAGCGATTTCAATAGCATGTATTCTTAGCTCGTACAACGGGCCAAAAACACCAAAAAATTTGGAAATATTTTATTACCAACAAAAATACAATTTTATGGTACTACAATCATAGACTCCTTACCTTCTCCGATACTAATCCATCTCACTGGTTTTCCCACTTCACACTGGATCGTTTCAACAAATCGCTTTGCATTTTGAGGTAGCTCCTCATAAACCTTAACGTTTTTCGTGCAACACTGCCACCCTGGTAAAGTCCTGTACTGAACTGTTACCGCAGCAAAATCGGAAACATTAGACGGAAAGGAGTCTAGCTCCTTTCCTCTGGATGTATACGAAATGCCTACTTTTATTTCTTTGAATTCGTCCAAAACGTCCAGTTTAGAAAGTGCGAAGGCGCTGTAGCAGTTTATCATGTCGGAGTATTTCAACGCGAACAAATCTAGCCAACCACAGCGCAACCCTTTGCCCGTTACCGGATTAAACTCGTTCCCCTTCATTTGTAAATATTCAAGTACGTCGTCGTTTACCTCCGTAGGGAAAGGACCATCGGCTCGTCTGGTGGTGTACGCTTTTATTACACCTATTACATGCTCTATTTTTGTTGGAGGTATACCTAAACCGGTGCTCACTCCTCCAATGCTGCAATTGGAAGACGTGACAAATGGATATGTTCCAAAATCGATATCCAATAAAGCGGCGTTGGCGCCTTCCACGAATATCCTTTTGCCTTCTTTAATGCACTTATTGATGCAATGGACTGTCTCGGTTATGTACGGGCGGAGGATTTCGGCGTATCTCTTATACTTTTCCAATTCGGCGTCAATATCCACGGATAATTCCGGAAACATTCTCTCGTAAAGGCTGACCAATCCGCGAAATTTGTCGGAAAAATATGCAAAATCGCCGATCAAATCGACCATCCTCATGCCGTTCCGTCTCACCTTGGATGCGTACGTGGGACCGATACCTTTCTTCGTCGTCCCAATTCGTTGGAAGCAACCATCAACCTCCTGTAGTCGATCCACTTGCTGGTGAAGATCGAAGACGATATGTGCCTTGTCAGAGATCAAAAGACGTCCTTTGAGCGATCCCGCCTCTTTTACTATGTCACTCTCCAGTTCTTCGACCAAACTCGGTATGTGGAGTACCACGCCATTGCCGATAATCGATAGACAGTTAGGATGAAACACGCCGCTTGGTAAAAGATGGTAGGAATAATCTCCATTTCTACCTACGACCGTAAGACTGGCATTGTTTCCTCCCTGACATCTACACACCACATCGGCCGATTCGGATAGTAGATGTATAAGTTTTCCTTTTCCTTCGTCACCCCATTGTGCTCCTATGACCGCCGTCACTTTGGCGTTAGCATCATACTCCAACGATTCCATCAATCACCTACGGAAAAATAGTAAATTGGTCTAAGTTCTGGAGGTACTTACCTACTAATGAACTAAATGTGTCGCTTACAAAGTTTTGTTAAAAATATGAGCAGTTACATTATCAAATTATCGGTAAGCGTTTGTTTATTCGTTGACCTTCTGATACAGATAACTTCACCGCAAATAAGATTACGTTTCCTACTCGTAATTGAAATTTTGAAGTGTAACGTTAAATGTCAAGGCAAAGAATAATAAGTCAAGGAAAGCGTAAGTGGTGGGTGTCATTCGATGATTTAATCAACCTTTTAATACGTTGTTGGTTACCATCGCGATTCTACTAGTGTGGCAGTAACATTTTTAAAATAAAACTATTTGGAGTCAACGGACCGTAAGTGCCACTAAAAAATGCAAAGGAAGTACCCATGCACGAACTTGTATTTTTGCGACTAACAACGCATTTGTTTGAATGCGTCATATTTATAAGAATGGAAGTTTTCAGTAATATGGGTCATCGATTAGCAGGCAGTATACCTATACGCATACTAATGCAGATTATATTATAATGCTGTAGAAAATCGGACCAGAATGATTTTTAGCGTTTTTTTTAAGAATTAAAAAAAATGTGCTATTGTTTGCGTTTTGTCCGTCCGTCCGTCCGTCCGGACCCACTTCTGCCGTTTCGAACTACTTCTAGGGGAATGGTCCTAGAGTCCTGGAATTTTTTGCAGTAGGTAGCCTATACCTTGAAGGTGTGCCAGACGGCCATCAAATTTCGCTGTCTAAAAGGGGGCCCCCCCCCCACGAATTATTTCCTGAGATGCTGTTTTTGAAAGTAAAACGTGCATAACTTTTACATACGACAACCAATTGGTCTCAGATTTTGCATACGCATGCCTTTAGTGGTGCCAAGTTAAACTTTAGAAAATGGGGGTGAGGGGGTAAACACATGTTCTACCCTTCATGTATTCTAATGAAAGGTCTCATTGAAATAAATTGGTTTGTACAAACTATAACTTTCCCGTGCGACTCTTTTTCGAGATCAGTGAGCGACGGGGCCTGAGGGGGGGGGGGGGGTTAAAATTAATTTGATCTCTCATTGTATTCTAATTAAAGGTCTCAACGAAATGAACCGTCTTCTACCAACTACTGCCTTTCTTTCTGTCCTCTTATTAAAGTAAGGGGTGGTGGAGGGGGGGGTGGAACTAGTTTCCTTCATGGTACTCTAGTGAAAGGTCTCAACGAAAGGAATTAATTTATACCAACCATAGCCCTCCTCTGTCCCAATTAAACGATGTATTGATAGAGATAGCCATAGATGTTTGATGTGATGTACGAATCGATAAATTTACGGGTGCTACATTATGTCGTTGATTATTTACATATATCCATATACAGGGTTTTTTAAAGTGGTTGCAAGGCGATTTCTCGAAAATGGTTGTAAATATTTTTATGAAATTTTGGTGACTCAATAAGGATATGGGGGGATAAAATTTACCATATTTTTTACATTTTTTTCTTATCTCAATTTTTAGGGGAGCGGTGATTTTGACATTTTAAATGAAATAATGCACTTTTCTTTTTAAAAGTCGAATCTATAAAAAAAAACACGTGTCTGCTAATATTTTTTTGTTTAATTGCTTCTACGCTTACGGAGGTATAGGTATATTTTAGGTATTACAATAAAAAAAACTTAGAACTTAATTACACATTTTTATTTATATTATGCTTGATGTTCAAAATATCTTCCTTGAACTTGAAAGGTTCCACCCTGTATATACAACTTACGACGATACATACATTTTTGAGAGTTGGCAACCATGCAATTTCTAGGTGGGGAAAAGCTGCCTGCGCCACCTAGAAAGCACGCACGAGGGTTACGTTTGGCATCTTGTCTTGAATGGCGGTCGTGAACGCGTCGCTCCATAAATGTTTGTTATTTTGTGTTATTTAATGCAGGTAGTAATATTGCATTTCTTTATATCGTATTTGTGTTTTGTATGTCACATTTTATATTTTTTGTGTGTTTGAATTTTTGTTTTTGAAATTTACTTTGTTTAACCGCAATGCATAATCACATATGTGATACCGTTATGCTATTGTTTGTAATTTTTTACGTTTTTGGTGTAATGTTTGCTTAATTTATGTTTATTGATGTTGATTACTTGTTCTTGTCGGTGAAGTAACATTCATATTGTGATAATCCACCCTGATGGTTAGGCAACACACATTTACATCTGAAACAAAAATATAATATGCTCTGTATATAACCAACGTCCGTTTTGCGCAGATGCCGAATACTAGAGGGGATTTTGGTAACGAAGCTAGGGAAGAATGGAAAGAAGATGGCGACGAGACCGACAGAAGACACACGCTTTCCCGGTTTTTTTTATTATTCTTGATTATTTTTGGTGATGGTGTTTTGAAGATGTATTTACAGGTAGTAACCATTTTATTCTTTCTTGTACTAGCTATTTAATCATTGAATTTCTTGCCACAATTTGATATTATTTACATTTTGCTGATTTTGCATAAACTACGATATCTGCATCATGGCGTACTCCATGCCTTTGTTTTGAGTACCGTTAGATGAATCGTGTTTGTAATACTGTACAGATGATTATGCCATTATTTTGTTTAATTAAGTATTTACTTCTGTTATTCATGAGGAGTTGATTATCGGTGTGATGTTGCTCTGTTCGATTGACCCGTAACTATTCCGTGAGGGAAGTACCTAATACAGTTTGATTGTTCGCTGTATCTGTTACTTTCTGTTTCGTGGCGCGCTACAGTTCTTGTGCGTTAGCTATACGAAGGGGGGCTCTTGTATTTGATGTTTCGATGTTTGTGTGTGCGAGTGGGTAATTCTGTCTCCGTGGAGTAGGTATACCTAATGCAGTTAGATCTTTCGCTGTATCTGTTGCCTACTCGTCTCGTGCGGATTGTAGTTCTTAACATCTTAGCAGTACGAGTGGGGGCCCTCTCATTTACATTTCCTCTATTTAAACTATGTTCTGTTTGAGCGATAATCGATTTTCACCTGAATACTTGCTATTGACCAATGGCATTCTCACATGTACTTTTCGTGGTAAATTAAATTATGTTAACTGAAGTAGAGCCACACCATTTACATGTTTCATATGTACATGCAATTTGTTTATTTGACGAGTTGTGTTATCTCTATTGATCGTACAGGTATTTTGATGTGTTTTTGTACTGAATTGATTTATCATGTTTTCCACTGTATTTATGATGTCTTGTGTATTTTGATTTTATGAACTTGTTTAATTGCATTTGATTTGATTATCTGATTTTTATCATACCATTTGAGATGTTTTATTTATGTGTATTTTCTCTTGCATTTTATTGCTGTAGGTGATTTATTTCATGTATTTGTGTGGCCTATGCCAGGGTTTTAGTCCCGGAGAAGCTTTCCCTGGCATGGTCTTGTGTGTGCGTTAATATATTTATTTGATCTCGTCATTTCTTACGCACAAAAGTTCTGTCTTTTATTTAATTCCCTTCCCTATTATGTCTCACGGCCCAACACATAAAAGAACCGATTACACAACGTAGGAGTCCATTCCTGCCACCCATATCGAACCGACTGTCATCCAAATTCAAAAGTGCCGCGAAACTACCGTCGTTTCGACTTGAAAGGTAGGTGGCTCTGCTTGTAGTTTTTGCCAGAGTTCCCAACCGTAAGTATAGGGTAAGTCAACGTTTTCAGTGTCGGCTTGATAGACCCCCCTAGGAACATTACAATATAAGTCTTAATCATTTTATTTTAATATGTGGAAATTACCGATCCGTTTGATGTATGTACTGACTTGCTGTTTGTAACTAACATTTTTTCCGTGAATGAAGCAGTCACGGGGGTGGTAAAAACTGTAGTCAAAATTGAGCTACGACACCTAATTCCGTGATTCTCTTCGACTTTCAACTGTAAACTCGAAACCCCGAAACCAGGGGCGGGTTACCTATCTTGCAGGAGCGGGATTACGCTAATCAAAGCTCTTCAGTTTAGAATCTATGTGCGATAAATGAGTGTCGATTCAATAATTTCCACATATCTTGTTTTTAGTTAAATTTGCCTACAAGGCCATGTAATTTTCCATCTTGCTTTTAACAAAAGGACTTTATTGCACCAAAGATGAGTCACATCCTGTGTATTTCACTCTTTCTTAGAATCTTGGTACCTACCTGCTTACCTGACCCATAATTCCCAAAACTTGTTTTTAACCTATATGTTACCTCTTGACGTTTACCTGCTACTTTTTGAGATGTTATAATTTTATGTTACGCATTCACATCATCACAAAACAATTAATTTTACAACACAATTTGATATTAATTTGACGGCTGGTTTTTTTTATTGGCAAGTTTTTTATTTCCCAGGCTATTTCGATTTTTATTCGGTGAACTACCATTTTCAAAGTTTATTTTTGCAATGTACTTTATTTCGATTTAAATTTCCGAACTTTCACAATCTTAATAATTGGGATCATTATTAAACAAACTTTTCGCAATTTGAGTGTTTTATTTTACGTTCCTTCCCTACTGTGCTTCAGGTCAAAGCGTTGTTTACAACTAACGTAAGGGGGTCCTGCCTTAGATGTTTGATCACGTGCCACTTTTCAAATTTAAGCGGGGTCTTGTTTAGTTTTGGAGAGAATAGTTATTCGGGTGGCCATTTTTAAACGTTGCCTGGTTGACTTTATTTCCGTGTTCTTGTAGTGTGAAGTTAACGTAAAACCTGGGCAATGTATTTTTTCGCGAGGGATCCACGACGCCTTTGAAATTAGTGTCAAGGTTCAACGTACTACTCCAGTCTCTTTCTAGCATCAGGAAAACACGATAACGTACGTTGAACGCTAACTTCAAATACATATATCAAAGCCCTCATGGATCCTTTGGAGAAGAAATACATTAATTCCGTTTCCCCATGGTGGGTTTTTCCTGGGCCTGGGACACGGTTTGGCGATTTCTTCTCTTAGGTGACGACGACTGAGGTATTTTGGAAGTGGCGCTAACTGAGCCCATTCTGTTTCTGCAGTTTTCAGGGAAGAGAGACGTGGAGATTCTCGTCACCCTCTTTTATTGCGTTGAGCGTCGAACAAAACGCAAGCAAAAGTGTCATCATCTCGTCATGTTTGTAGATTGCAGGAAGCGAACTTGTCACATTTCGCGAGACAATTTTTAAGGGAATATTGCTAACACATATATTTGAAAGGATCTAAATGGATTTTTAAATATTTATAAGAGTTGTGAAAAACAAACAATGTTAAGTTGAAATTAAACAGAAAATTTGTGATAATTAGTGTGCCACGACGGCAACGCTGTAGGGGTATTTCTCCAAAACGTAATTTCTGCATTTTTAGCTGTAGATTAAAACTTATAAAGATTCTCCAATCTCCATACCCCTTTTTTCCTATTAATATAAGGAAATGGAATGTAGAAAATTGTTTAAAAGTATAATTGGGCGTGTCTAGTACGCAATGCACTGACTATGACCGCATCGACACTGTCCATCAACCTCCCATATAACATCCGGAACCGAAATCGGAATTGGGCAAAATCAATCGGAAGTTCCGCTCTATCGGAATCGAACCTCCGTTACATCTCTAGTTTCAAATATCTGCAGCAGTCAAATCAGAAACAATTAGTCAAACATACAGTTAAACCAATTTTAAAAAAACGCGATACAAGTGATAAGAAATACAAATGGAAAACAAGATCATTCCATTTAGCACAAAACACATCTATAGTCCGTAAGCTGAGCAATGTAACATTTCTGTCATTTTTTTGGCAACCAGCCTTTTCCCCATATTTCGACCCCGCTGAAACCGAAAATGCCTAATGTTGCCACTAAAGTAAAAACGTCATTTTTAACGTGAGCGATAGTTGTGTTGAATATACGCAAATTGCGTATTGAGAACTATATTGTTCTACCGTATTATTTTCAAGTTTACTAAGGTTTGTTTTGGGGAACTTTCTTCCGCATGGAACGGGTTTTTACATTTTTTTCATTTTCAGTTGCATATTCAATACAACTATCGGTCACGGTATAAATGACATTTGATTAACGACTTGTTACATTGTTCAGCTTATGGACTATACCATACGATCAATTTAGACAAAACAACCCGTAAAATGATAAATTGTAGGTACATACAAAACCTCAAATGGCATGGCCCTCATTCCGCATCGTCTATCATTAATTTAACACTTTTGTGTGTAAGAATGCAAGCAGTATTCATGATTCGATTATCACACAAACAGAACCACATACGAAACAGGAGAAAAGCTAATTAGAGGGTCCCCATCTCGTATTGGAACTATATTAGATGGTTTCTCCACGGTATAAACGGTTAATACCATCATACTGACAATTTACCCTCTCAAAAATACATAAATAAATATTGAACATGATTACCTCGACGTACAAACCAAAAGCTTAGAGCAGGCCATGTTTCAATAAAACCGATATCAAAATGTAATGCAAAATGTAAATAATAACACTTGTGACATGAAATTTAAAAATTGAAATTGATGGTTAGGAGGAGACAAAATAAAACGATGACTATCTGTAATTACACTTTCAAAACAAAATGAACCAAACCATCGAAAAACCAGTTACGCGCGCACTTTATGCCAAAATTCATATTTCAAAAATCCCTGTTCCCGCGCAGAATCACAGAAATATACAGAGTGGCCCAACGAGAAGTATACAGAGGGCTTTTAAGATATTAAATTTAGAAATTTCGAAAAATCCTCGAACACGTCAATTTTGTATTCGAGGGGGACAACTTTTGGAATACAAATCACGAACCCAAGTCTTCACCTCTATACGTAGGGAGCTTAACCCCTAAAATTTTAAATGGAATCCTATGGCAAATGGCACATTATTTGAAAGCCAATTTAATCGTGATTACTAATCTGCTTTGCTTTAGATTACTTCTTGTGAGGATATTTAAAGAATAAAGTTTATGCTACTCCACCCGGAACATTACAAGGGTTGCGAGCACGTATAACCATAGTGTAAGAATAGAATACACTATGGTATAACTCAACAATTTCGAGCGATTACCCCTGAAATCTAGCAACATGTACGGCAGCGTTTTGAAGCAAATCTTTATTATTGCATGGAAGCAGGTGGAAGGCAATTCGAGCATTTATTGAAATAAATGTTGTCTGTTTAAAGTTATTTGTTATTTTTTGCACAATTTAAACCTTTTTTAATACAAGGTGACTTAGATCGCATTTGTTTTGGTTTTTTTAGAAAAAACCATTTCAAATGCGAATATCTCCGAAACGAATCAATAGAATTTAAAAAGCAAAGCAGATTAGTAATCACTATTAAATTGGCTTTCAAATAATGTGCCATTTGCCATAGGATTTCATTTAAAATTTTAGGAGTTAGGCTCCCTACGTAGAGGGGTGAAGACTTGGGTTCGTGATTTGTATTCTAAAAGTTGTCCCCCTCGAATACAAAATTGACGTATTCGAGAATTTTTTGAAATTTCTAAATTTAATACCCTAAAAGCCCTCTGTATACTTCTCGTTGGGCCACTCTGTATATAAATTCAACGCCAAAATGGTGAAAGTCGAAGGGCGTTTCATATTTTTTCGCATACTGCTATTCTTTCATCTGTAAGATGTGTTGCCTACCTGTAGGGGTATGTCGATACAATGTATTCCGACTGGACGATCCTCAAGCGTTTATGAATAATAAGTCTGCGATACCTTTTAGTACTCATAACATCTACATAGAAGCAACCCGTTGAGTTCTTTTGTGGAAATTGGTCTATCAATTGCAGAAAAAAAGGTTTTTATCTTGTGTCATTTTTTAGCGTTTACGATTAATGTGTTGTCGGCTCAGTCATATTGGAAAATGAACATGATTGGATGAAAACCACATGTGAGCTGCAGACCCCAGAGGACTCAGTGAAACTGTTTATACAAATATATTGTGGAACAATGGACGTATTTAAATGCTTATTATTCATAAAAGGTTAGATAATATGCCAAGACGGAGTCTTCTATAAATTTTATGTACAAAAACCCTCCACTAGTGCATGTGATAGAATGAGCTAAAGGTCGTAGTCCCTCTTAAATTGTATTGACCATACACTGGATTCGGTGGCGGTTCCAGCCCCCCCCCCCCGTGTCCATTTTTTCATCAAATTGGTGTCGATCTCATTTCCATTATGCGAGATTTATATTTTTTCCATGTTGGAAGAAAGTTCGGGTTCGGGCCCCTCTCTTTACCAAATCCTGGGACCGCCACTGACTGGATTCACGGTTATATTAAAGATAGTGTTCTCTCATTTTTTCATCAAATTGGTGTCGATCTCATTTCCATTATGCGAGATTTATATTTTTTCCATGTTGGAAGAAAGTTCGGGTTCGGGCCTCCTCCTACCTCCTGGGACCGGACTGCGCGGATTCACGGGATTTAGTGTTAAAATGAAATGCATCTTTGATCTCGTTTTTTATTTTGACAGCTCTGCCCATGGTTTTACATTTCGAGCTAGAACGTTTGTGCAATGTACAGATTTGAGCTGACGTCTCAACTAAATTAAAAGTTCAAATTAAAAATTTCAAAATCCTCAGCACTCACTTCTGCACATTCAAAGATTAATAGAGAGAATAGAAAACGTACCAATGTAACTTAATAGGTAGGTAGGTACTATAAGATAAATTAGGATTTAATAACAGACCAAAATTAAATAACCGTGTATATTTGCTATGTCTACAATTTGTAACAGTACATACAAAATAGCAACTAGACATAATTATATTAGAAAATTACAAGGACAAACTAAAATAATTAAGTTTAAGGAGTGATTGGCATTTCCTCCTCCCTCTCCCCCTAATTTGATTTTATTTTAATAAAAATATATTAACTATATGTATATATTAATTTCAAGTTTTAAATTACATTTGTACATATCAACAATATAAAATGTTAATTTTTGGGCATTTTTATGCTTCTCTGTTGTTAACATCTTAATATCTTACAAATTATATACAATTTGTTATAAAAGTAGGAATGTGCTACAATAAAATATCACAGTGATTTATACATGCCGTCACCACGCTAGTTGACAAATCGCGTACAACACAACCTAGCGTATCGTCAACAAGAGCGAGTGACACCATCACGTCAACAATTTTGGTTCACAAAAACGCGCCGTTTGCCAGTGGTCAACATACTCGAGTAAGTCGGCAACGAAAACTCGTGCAAATAACAAAATTACAAAGTTATGCGCCTTTAAATCTGAGAATACGCCTAATAAATGGACTCGATGAATGAGTGCTAAAGAATATCTGCCGTCTTCAATCAGAACCTCAATCTATCATTTTGAGATATTAGAGAGTTATCTGCAAACCTCACCTTGCTTGATTGGTTATTATGGATGTTGACTAGAATTGGTTAATTGATTTGTTTGTTTATTAATCCACTGACAGATTGGGTACCGTAGCTCCTCAATTGTGACAAGTGGACCAGCAATGGATAACACTTGAATTTTTTATAATAATCGGATAATTCTGGCATCACCATCACATTTAATGTAATAACTTTGTATGTTTATTGTTCTATTAGATCCGACCAAAAGCCAATACTGACAAAATTCTACTTCGGGCAGTACTAGCATCACCTTTCAAAGGGATATTAAAAGATGAAAAAAGCAAACAAAAAATGCCACTGTTGCAATTGCTAAACAGTAGACAAACTATTATACAAAGAAACATATCACAAAGCAAAAACTGGAAGAAAATAGAGAATAAGTGTATAGTTAAGTTGGTAGAGCAGCAGCCGAAAGAGTCACTTAAAAATAAAGGCAAAATAATAAAGAAAGACAAAAGAAAATCATCTAAGTTGTAGTGAAGATCTTTTTTCAATCTTAGTCTATTACAAAATCACTCCATTACAGAACGTGTAACAATTTTCAGGTGTTTCAACTTTTGCTCTCATTCAGTTCATGATGTTGCTTTATCTTTTTCAAGTTTCTTTATTTTTACTTTTTTATATTTTCTCTGCCCTACATTCATTACTATATTTTCTATTACTTGTGTCAACTGTTTCAATACCATTTCAAAACCTCTTTCCTTCCCTTTTCTCTCTTTTATTTTTATTCGTCTATACACTTTCATTTTATCAAACTCTCTGTATGAGCATTTTTGTTTCCTGTCCTGTCACCTTACACTGAATAATTTGTGTACACCTTTTACTTGTTTCTGTCTGATTGTCTTTTTTTATTACTTCATGACTGTTTAATTAATCCATTGTTGATATATCAAATAATCAAATTTAGTCCTAACATGTGGGAATGACAGTAACTCTCTAACATCAATGAAATAACAGCTGCGCAATTCGCATCGTATCTGTAGCTGATACAACTTAAATTTCGACCTCCTTAATAATTGTAAGGTGCAACAACAGTCAACTCATCTTTGATCAAATTAATTAGTATTAGTACTCGCAAACATTCTTAATAAATTACCCAGTCTCAATGCCAACAATTTTGTTTAAACCTAACTTACTTTCTTATCGCTATTATCGGCTGATGCTTCTGTAGGCTCAGAAACTTGTTTAAGTAACTTTCGATTTTTACTGTATCGCCTCGGTCGAATGGCAAATTGAGAGTGACTCGTGGCGAACTCGTCATTTTCATCGCACACGACGTCTTGCGTTAAAACACTACTATCTACTACCTTACTAGCTAGCAAGCTTTTCGCGATTAACGGATTATTATTTCTAAAGAGACCCACGTTCCTATCATCTACATAATGCACCCTTTCGTTGGCGAAGTTGTGATTCATATCGTTTTCGCCCCCGTTATACCTTCTATTATAGCTATTTTGCTTGTAGGAATATTTACGTATGTTTAGCACCTTTTTGGGACTTCTCTTGAAAATCTCCGCGCTTTCGTCGTAGGCCGACGCCGTGCTGGCGAAGTTGAATTCGTCGTCGATATCGTTGCAATAAAGTGGATACAATATCGCCTGCTTTGTTTTATAATTACACAAAGAAAAACGATGATTAAGATGGTAGTAGCTCAAAAAAGACGTCTCGCGTGCGACGATCTGCATTGATAGCCACGTGTGGATTAGCAGCAATGGAAATCGAGACGTCCAGTAGCTGGTGAAGCTGTCTGGAATGCTTCCCAGTTCCTCTTGCGTTTCCGGAGGTAACTCACGATAATGGTGTTTCTAAAAGAAATATTATTTTTATTGTCTGATTACTTTTGAATCAATGTATACAGCGTGTTACAATTAAAGCAGGCAAAGAAGACAATTGCAGAGGTAAAGTGAGAAAAACTCATTTTCTAGGCTAGGCGAGACAATAAATACGCATTATATAACCTAGATGGCGCGGTTGTAATTTTCTTTTTAATTAAATGAGAAACATAATAAAGCTGTTTAATTGTTTCTATTCTATTTAACTATGAATTAGTATATTTTCAACTATCACCGAATAATAAGATAGATTAACACAATTTTTCATTAGGATAGGTATTAAATTTATAAGTATTTGTATGTTCTGTCAAAGTTGAAGTGGTAGAACAGGATACGAAGATTTCTCTTTGTATATCTAACTTCGCCTTGTGATTCTTCTGTCTTTTTTGTTTTCGGATTTTTTTTTCAATGTCATTATTACGTTTATAGGAGAAGAATAAACACTATTATTATTATTATTATTAAAATTAGATATAATAGTGATTGCGTAATCACACGGACCACAGCTAAGTGAATTGTGCAACTGCATTTTAAAGAGAGAAGTATTTGGTTGCGTAATTACACTGTGCGCATTTTAAATCCTTCGAAGTCTTGTGTGCATTAACATACGCTTTTTTAAACTGTATTTATTAGTTGCATAGTCACACTGGGCACATTTTAAACCTTTGGAAATCTTGTGTGATAACAGATTAAGATGACCTCTTCAATGTCGGTTGAATAATCGCACTGTATGCATTTAAAAATAAATTCCAGGAAACAGAGAAGGTAAACGTACCACTTACTATACTTATTTCAGAAATTTAAACAGCCTTTTAAGTTTTTATTATTGCCGCTAGAGGTCTCGTCCTTATTTGGATACGCGGATATAATTTTTACTACATATTTTTATTGTAACTTTAAATATTTGTATCGACAACATGCAATCATTGAAACTTTGTAAGTTTAATGTGAAAAAGTTGACCCAGTTGACACAGATTGAACAAATCTTATCACATCCATAAAGAAGATACACTTTTATTAACTGGTAGGACTATACAAACCCCATTACTTTATTGAGTGGTAGAACCCAGTTATCCCAATGACGTCACGTGAATATGCGCATAGGCATACCTTGTCTTATTGTACCATGAGTATTAACTTTCTTAGTTGTAGGATTAGTAAGACGGTTAATTACAGAAATTGTGTATTTTTTCCACTGAATCCAAATCTCCAATTAAAAAACAAAACAACATCGCCTTTTCCAAATAGTTTTCAGTGTTGTTTTGTTTTTTTAATTACAGATTTGGATTCAGTAGACTACTCTATCAAGAAAGTTAACAATAGTGCCGACTTAATTTGAAACAGACTATGTGTAGATAGGCATCCGATTTACTTTCAATTAGGAGGATCTGAGCCAACATATCTAACCCACATATAGGGGAGGGCAATACACTGTGAGACGATATTTAAATAAAAGGCATAGAAAGCCGTATTAGATAAGTTCATTTATTTTGAATAATGCAAAACATAAATACAACCACACTAATAACAGATTACAGTGTTTTTTTGCAATAAAAAAATAAATATTAACCCCTAAATGTATTTTAAAAAATCATGTCATTTGTCTCAGTGTGAACGATGTGTGATACAGTTTGAGCCGCAATATGGTACACTATAAGACAATATTTAACAAATGTTATACGGGTGTCAATTTTAAAACTTGCAGTTGGCCATACCTATTTTCCAATCTAAAGAAGATATTGAAAATCGTTAAAAACAGTTTCGGGGGTATCGAGGGGGAACCAGAATGACGTTATGAGTGACAACCTCCCACCCCCCTTAACCCCCCCACTTCAAAAATCCTAAATGGCAACTCCATACTTGTGACACATCGTTGGAAAGCTACTGAAAAATGCTTTCCAGTGGTACCAATAAAGTCTATATTCATTAAAACAATTTATCGCGAGCATATGTCCAACCATTCCCCAAAGTTTCATCGCAATTCGCAATCGGGTGAACGATTTAGACAGGCATAAGAGACAGACAGACAAGACAAACATTCATTTTTTTTAGATAATACCAGAGCAGATGAATCTTGGCGAACCGCGTATTCATATATGGGTACATTGACACTGCCTAACATTTTCACCTAATGCCATTACAGTGTGCAGATTTCAAATCTGTTTAGATTTTGTGAGTTACGAGATGCCGTTTCAGGACATGGTGTTTGCAAAATCACACTGTGCACATTTTAAAAATTTGAAAGTATTCTGAGTGTGTAAGTTAACACATACCTACTTAACTTTCTGGTACCGGCACATAAGATGGCTATGCGCTGCCGAGCTGGGTACTGCTCGCGAGCGTTCCGCTCGAAAAAGTGCTCCAAGCGGAAAAAGCGCTTGCGACCGCTTTTCGGAGCGGCCGCTTGGTGCTCGATACTCGAGCATTTACTTAAAGTGCTCGGCGTTCGAGCGCTTTTTTCTGCCCTCAAGCGCTTAAAGATTAAGCGCCGCTCGTGAGCGTTTATTCCGCTCACGAGAACTTTTCCCCAGCGCTCGCGATAAACCGCTCGAGCACGTTTAGGAGTTTCGCTTTGCAAAACAACTGGCTGCTCGCGAGAATTTTTGATGAAATTAAGAGCGCTCGAGCGGTATTTTAGAACGCCAGACCCCGTTCTGATGCGCTGATGCCTAACTTAGAGCCTGCAGGAGAAGCCAACTGGCTCTATGGGGCACTATTAGGTGCAATTAATAGAATACGAATAGAGGGGGTACGTGACCTTCTTGCGCGCCAGGTACAGTTATTCCTTGTATAATCACACAGTGCACATTTTAAATCCTTTGAGTTGTGTCTTAAGAGATGTTTCAGAAAATGTTTCCTGCAAGAGTGCAATGTGTACACTTTAAATGTTTTGAATTTTTGTGTATTTTTAAGCGGCAAGTGTTTATTGGTCATTAACAGGTGGTCGCTGTTGGCTGAGAAAGATTTGCTTTTGAATTTACAAATTTGTCATTTTATAAGTGTACCGCTTCATAGTAAAAAAGAACAGAACTAAACCTACAAAACACCCTACTCCTCAAATTATCCAATAACTAGCCAACCAAATCTCTGTCGCACTAAGGGCACCTTTATGGAGCATGAGGGACGAATTTTTTGCTAAACCTTTACATGTACCTATAAGAAACGTGCCTAAAGTTTGGTTTGTATCAGGTCCGTTTTGGGTTTTTACCTCGGCCAGTATATTAGGGAAAATTGGGTGGGAGAGAAGGGATTCTTCCCCGAACTTTCAAGGCGAACAAGATTAAGGGGACTGGGTTTCTTGAATTAATAAAATTTAGACAGCACATATAGGTAGCAATATACGTACTTTATTTCTGAGCGCTCGCAGCAAATCTCGCAATGAGTCCCCACTATAAGATCTATACTTCCGTAGATCTTTTCCAATCTCTGTACTAATGTACCGCCTCCAATCGCCTCGAACGACAAACGCAGCGTCTCGCTCCAAAGTCATCAGAACATGATCATCCGGTTCGGCTTTCTCAATTCTGTCGCTCACATCCTGCGAGTAAATACAATAACTTCCGTCAACATAACGTCATGCGCATACCTGGAAAAACGCCAAAATTTTCGAATTGCTCCAAAAGATCGGATGCACCAGTATCGCTGTACAAGGCGGTCGATCCTGAGTCTTCACCGAGATGAGATCTGCAATTAGTGGTTTTTGAATTGCGATTTGCCACGGTTCCCCTTTTAGGTTGCCCAAATCGGACACGTTCCCCAGAATGTTCGCTTGCCGCCTCAAGGAATCGCCGAAAGGATGCGACCCCTTGGAAAGAACGTAGTAGAATAGACAACCCAATGAAAACAAGTCGACGGCGCAAGTCTAAAATTGACGTCATTGCAGAAATTACGCTCGTTTGGGGGGCTACTCACCGTGCGTTCGCTTCCGTTGAGCATTTCGGGAGCAATCCAACCATCCGTGCCCGTAACGCCAGATCTGCGTGAGAAAGATACGCGGCCGACTTGTAATTTTTTACAGAGACCAAAATCGGATATCATTGCCCTTGTTTGACCTTTTGCGTCCGGCATCGATAGTAGAACGTTTTGGGGTTTAATGTCTCTGTGAACTAAAAAAAAGTGTTTTTACTTACTTTTTACTGATTGGTTAATGACTATCTGTATTGAAGTTTTGAAATTTTTCACTACACTTGCATTCAGAATGTTGTTTATCAACAACACCTTTACTAATGTTTTTAAAAACGCTTTTTCATGCATTCCTTCAATGATAATTGGAGTACTCCATTATTAATTTTGTCTAGAGAAACATCACGCCTAAATATCCTGTTGACCGATACCCGCACCATGAATTTTGATGGTTTAACTTTAAAGGTATCCATCCTAGGGGGAAACCAGTAACATTTTTGGTGTACACCAAAAATTCTAATTCAAATTAATTCACGTAAATTCACGTAAACTCAAATTAATTCACGCTAATTCAAGTTAATTCACTTTAATTCAAATTAATTCATGTTAATTGGAATTAATTCATGTTAATTGGAATTAATTCACGTTAATTCTAATTAGTTCACGTTAATTCAAATTAATTCCCGTTAATTCAAATTAATTCAGAGGAGTGTATACCAAAAATCCAAAGTTGTTTCCCCCTGGTATCAATCAATCATACAAATAGTTCTGGTCCAGCTCCAGGGTTTAAAGCCAATCATTCACTACAGCATTTTATTTTCGACCAACGAACTTACCTATATCAAGAGAGTGTAAATGTGCCAATCCCGAAGTCGCTTGAATTAAAATGTCCAAAGGCGTTATAAGCGAAGTGTCATACTGCCCCAGCACATAATCGTGTACGGTGGCGTGACACAATTCCAACGCAATATATCGAAACATACGATCCTGTTCTGTACAAAAATAGCGAATAACGTTCGGATGGGCGTCGCTCTCGCGCAGCAGTGCGACCTCCCGATCGGCGAACGTGAAGCATTCGGGTAGTAGGCGTTTAACGGCGACCTGTCTCTGATCGAATTCTCCCCTACAAACGATCCGCGTTACGAAAGCGCCACACTTCTCCTCCGCGGTTACCTGTACACGAAGGTGCCCTCGCATCCTTTTCCGAGCAGCTGCTCCGGGTGAAAGGTGATCTTTCCGATTCGCACTTTACCGTCGTCCAACTCCTCGGGGAGGGCGGAAATGGCGCCGTTTCGTCCGACGGAGCCGTTCTGACTGCCTCTAGAGCCGTTTTGCGATAGTTGCTGAAATTCGCGGACCTAAAACGAGGGGGGGGGGTCGCTTTAAAATTAAAAAAGTATTTTCTCGATGTTGTATTTTGTTCAGCATATGAAAATGTACACATGTACCGCTTCATAGGGAACGAGAACGAAAGTATGTCTGGCGAAAACAACGTGTACGTTTTCGATAACAGTGTGCGGTGCGAGATAAGCGAAGAGAGACCGGATTGTAAGGGGGTTTTTGGCAGACGATGTTAGGCCTTCCAAGGGTTAGCCTATTTGGGAGTGGGAATTTTATTTTCGCATAATTGCGATAATGGTGATGTACCGTGCTAAGTAGGCGGAAAATGAATTCGGAGTGAAGTTACAAGTGCGAGCTTATAAAAATTTTGAAGCGATCATAGCAAGATTCGTATGCGTTTTCAAGAACTAGAACGGGTACTTTATTGAGTGAAATCTATCTGAATAGCAGTAAAGAATTAGCAATTTGACTTCGGGTACAAAACATAGTAAGGGCTGTGATTCGAGTTCGCGGCGAATTGCGAATTACCTACAAAAATTGTGCGAATTTAAAATCAATCTATTTGGAGGTGAAGTTCTCCCGCACCAGAAACCTTTGTGTTTAACGGCATACGGGAAAAAATTTAAAGACGATGCTCACAGCAAAACCCAGTTAATAAACGGTCAAATTTAAAACAGCACAACATTAGGTGGATTGAATTCACAATATGTATGAATATTTTTATTTTGCATTCATCAACGAGACGGCTGTAACATTGAAGCGGTCTGTTTCCATATTTCTAAGCTAAGCGAAGCGGCATTTCCTAAGGAGAGATAGGATCAATTATAACCAGACGAGAATATTACCAACGTCAATTACTGTAAGTTATTTTAAATGTTTTGATTTGTATAAAGTGGTCGATTATTTTGTAAGGAATTTTGTTCGAAGTAGTTTTAATATTCCTAAAGAAATCGACCCATGAAAATTATTCACATGAAACATTTTTTTTACTCACTTCCGTCCCCTACCTCAGCCTCAGGAAAAAAAGACACAAGAAACCGCACAACGATTTCTAAGGAAGCTCAAATTTTATTACTTAACCTTACTAGATCACTAGGGGGCGTTTACCATATGGCCATCAAAGAAAATAACTACAACGCCACCTAGTGGCCAAATTGTTTAAGCTCATACAATTTGAACGCAGAAGAAGGTGGACAGAAATTCAAAGTTCCAATAAACTTTGACCTATTCTGTACTTTTTTTAATAGACGCCTCTACTCTACCCAGATCCTTCACTAGATGATATCTTTTAAATTAAAGTGCACCATCACGTGCAAACAGATCATCTCAAGGACCAATCATCCTGCAATATCTCAGACGATTAAAAATACTTCAGTTGATTTATGTCTAAGATAACATGAAACGTCCTAAATTAGGAGTTTATCGTCAAGGAGTTCGAGATAATAAACGCCAAATTATACATTAAAACCGAAATTTCGCATATTATGGTTAAGCTAAATATTAATTTAAGCGCGCTTCAAGTGGTTATTTTTAAAACCGACAATCAATCGGGGTCAAGGTCAACACAACTCACCTGCATCTGTAGGTACCAAAACATGGCAATAATACAGCCGATAAGTATGATGAGCGTAAGTTTAAGCCCCTTATTGTCCTGTTGATTAATCCATACTTTTACTTGCCCGTACGTGTCTACAACGAACATCTTGAGAGAGGTAGACGAAACCGGGTCATCTGTTTCCGGTGGTCCACTCTCGTTTTTTACGTCGTCGGTCTGAACGCCAACGGAATGTTTGTTGTCCTAAAGTGAAATGGTAGAAATTGTTTTAGAAACTGATCCAATACCTGGAATATATCAGTCCACTTTAGTTTCGAATTGTGTTCCTCACTTTGGGTGGATTTCGGCTTCTCGTTGGTTTGCTTGGTGGTGCTCGACTCGTCTGTTAGCAAATTTAGATAGGCCAAATTTTGGCCGGCTATTAGCAGTTTGCCCAAGTCGAAATCGGGTACATTGTAATGCCCCAAGTAGATCACAGTGTCATTTGCTTTAGGTACACTTTGAAATATTACCGGTTCCCCGCCACCTAAATAAACATGAAAGGATTAATATGAAACAAGAATGAAATCTTACCCTGGTGAACGTAGTAATTTTTGCCCGGTATCGGGTAAGTAGGCGGGGGATTTTGGCATTTTGGAAAATCGGGACCTTCCAATAGTAACGGGCCATCTTCTGATGTAGTTATGGTGACTGTGTTTTGATCAACGAGCGACGGTAACGCATACAAACCGTACATGTACTCGCCCACATACAACGTAGGGCTGTAATGACAAATTAAGTCCTGCGAATACCGAACCCAGGCATAAACATACTACAGCTTCATATGAGAAGGCTGGTACTGGAACGGTTTCTGATGACTAACCCAGTCGGTTGCCAGATGTCCAATTGTGTGATTAGCCATGCTGGTAAACGGCAAACTCAACAAACCACTGGGGTCCATAATGTAGATCGCAACCACCGGACTTTCAGTATCAATATCCCACACCAAGGATCCCCTCCGCCTGTCCATTGTGACCAAACGACCCGTTGACGACGACGCAAAGTGCACAAGTTCTACAACATCAGTATTAATCGTGACTATTGAATAAGAATCCGAATAGAATTATAAGCCAAGGAGAGGAGCGCAGGAGGAACAGTTTTTTGCAGGTTGTCCTCTGATACAAACTATAAACCACGGTCGCATACGTCCACGGTACATTAGTGGCGGTTTGCGGACCCATAGGGTTTGCCTTGCACACAAAATTTAATTCAAGGTCAAGTAACACAAGAAATATTTTTAGCGTTCTTTCCTCAAAGTAAACAAGTATAAATTGTGCACAACTCATGTGCAGATAAAGCGCATTTTTTTTAACCGAAATAGCTTTCATTTTGACATCACCAATGTATATATTTCTTGCAGACGTCCCAATCGCCCCTTGTGGGTACCTTCTTCCGACAATCCGTTCTTGAGGTATAAGAGAATATACCCGATCACGATAAGAGGTCGAGGAGGGCTATGGGTGGTAGCAATTAATTCATTTCGTTGAGACCTTCCATTAGAATACCATGAAGGATAAAACTAGTCCCCCCCCCCTCCTCCCCATACTTTGATAAGAGGACAGAAAGAGGGGCAGTAGTTGGTAGAAAACGGTTCCTTTCGTTGAGACCTTTAATTAGAATACAATGAGAGATAAAATTAATGTTTAACCCCCCCCCCCCCTCACCCCTTTAGTTTAACTTCGCACCACTAAAGGCATGCGGATGCAAAATCTGAGACCAATTGGTTGTCGCATTTAAAAGTTATGCACGTTTTACTTTCAAAAACACACCTTAGGAAATAATTCATGGGGGGGGGGGGGCCTTTTAGACAACGAAATTTAATGGCCGTCTGGCACACCTTCAAGATATACGCTACCTACTGCAAAAAATTCCAGGACTCTAGGACCATTCCCCTAGAAGTAGTTCGAAACGGCAGAAGTGGGTCCGGACGAACAATACGCAAACAATAGCATTTTTTTTAATTCTTAAAAAATGCGCTAAAAATCGCTATTGATTGCACTTTGCGGTTCGTCCGTCACATGTACCACTTCTACACGACTAAACCGATTTGAGCGATATAAGGTTTGGTGCAAGGACCTCGTAAGTAACTATATTCTTGGTTTTGCGCATGCGCAGTGTCCAAAATTTGGTTTAACGTATGTGCAATGCTCACTTTATTATTTAGGAAAGCATTCAAATGAAATTTGATACATGTGCACTTGGAATAAAAATAAATCTAACGCCAGTCACATTGCAATTTTGCAACAATCTTCAACATGTTCTGAAATGACCTCTAAGTCTTCAAAGGATTTAAAATGTGCACGGTGTGATAACATAACGAACTACTGTACCCGGCGCGTAATAAGTTCAAGCACCCCCACTACTCATATTCTATTAATTGCTTCTATTAGTGTATTAAACAATACTTCCAAATATTTAAAATGTGCACAGTGTGATTTTTCAGCACATCAACACCGTATCCTAAAACGGCATCTCTGAACTCACAAAATCTCGAAGGATTTAAAACGTGCACACTGTAATGTCAATGTCCAAATATTTAAAAGGTGCATAGTGTGATTTTTCAGCACCTCAACACCATAGGATAAATATGTATTATTAGGAGGAAAATTGGCTCTCGTCATTTGTGTTTGCATAATGACTTTTCGCACACGAACGAAAATAAAAATACGGAAGCCAAAACGATAATATCCAAATTAATTAATATGATAGCCAGATCTTTATTTGTTGTAAGAAGTTATTTCGGTTGCATAAAACTAGGCGTTCTTCAATTACGATATTTGTTATCGGCTCGTATGATGAGTCGAACGTTTTGTTTTTTGCGAGGGCGTAATATATTTGCTGGTTTTGTTTACACTGGTATTTTGCCGCCATCTTAGCGTGCATAAATGCAAATGTGATTATATTTCATTTCCGTGAAAAATCGTGGCATGAGCCTAAAACTAGAGCCTTAAGTACCTGATGCGATCTCTGAGAATAATAAAAATGACAAAATCATAAGCTCTAGAAAATCCTATATAGCATTGGTTGGAAATAATAATTATTATTATTATTATAATGTTATATAATGTTCGCTGTTTACAATTTGGCAACAACTTAATTGAGCATGAAAGTTTCTAACTTGTATCGAGTTTTAATTATTAGTTTTTAATTGAAGCAGACTCTTTGGCATTTTCTATCGTAGATTTTTTTATTGCGTATTTAAAAATAAAAATTTACAGTATATTTCATTTAAAAAAAGGTAGTAGTTGAACTACTAGTAATCAAAAAGTTACCAATAAATTTTTTGTTGTTTGCGGTATAGACATGCCAAATCTGAAGAATATTGACCTCCAGAGAACAGAGATCAATTACCGTGCCTGGACTTTTCGTGTACCCTGTATATAAAAAATAAAAGTGCAGCTTTGTAAGAGATATACTTAAGTGTGAAGATCTTAATCCTTATGACGGATGAGAATACAGACTATATATTCCTATATGGGTCATGTCCAAGATGAAAGAAGCCACATTTACTTGTTCACAAATTATCTGATATTAATTTGGCAAAAAAAACCACTTCTGATTGGTGAGATTAGTGATAAATGAGATGATTAAAAAAATATGTACCTTTCAAAACACACTTTAGATAAAAGAATACGGCATAGAATAGATAACCTGTAAACGTAATAAAGCATGGTGTTCACCAACAATTTTTAGGCTCACACTACATACAATTTCTACCTACATACCAGAATTGACAACTTATTTCCAACAGAGCCACAGAAAGGCTAATAATTTTGGTCAAAAGCACACATTATAAATACTGGCCACCATTTCTCCTATACCATGAAACTCCTATTTGGCATTCTAAGCGACCTACCGTAATTATTCAACATCTCCTTGCTTAACGGATTGGCGGTGTAATCATAAAATGTCACGTTCCACTTCCGATTCGTGTTTCTACTATCAACCATCATAATCGAATACTGCGTTCTGCCGACATATACTCCATCTACGCTTTCGATCGGACACGTCGGGCTCATTCGATCCCAACCGAGAACTTGCTCCCTCTGGCCAGTTCTTGGATCCAACATGTACCAACTGTCCTTCTTTTTACCTGTGTAATCCGAACATTAACAACTGCCACTACCCCAAGCGTACCGTACCTGTGTATAAAATTCCATCCGAACTCCGACATGGCGATGATGCAACCAACTGTGGAATCGTGAAAGGCAACTTTTTCAGTGGTTGCCTACTGTCGCCTAGCAGATATAGGGAACCGTCCCTGGGATCTGGTAGAAACAGTGGAATAATTGCATCTGTGGTATCTAGCGGAACTGTCACAGTAGGCCCTGAAAGGTAAACAATCACATAACCGCAATTTGTGATGTGGCACTTCTTTCGAAAAATACTACGTACTGTCTTTAATTTTCCATTGAATCTTCCCAGACTGCTGGTCAACCGCCACTAGACTCCCATCGAGCGTGGAAAACAACAATAACCGCTTGTCCCATTCTTTAGCGATATCCGTAGTGAATCCTTGGGACTGTAACAGTAGCGTTTGATTTACCTTCGAAATTTCTGTAATAAAATATACACCCACTAACCTCTTGGGAGGTAAGTACATCCAGAAAGCCACCGCAAAAACACAATGCAAGTACAATACTTGCAGTTATCCACTGAACATTGTTATACATAGCACTTTCTTGGCATATGGATTATTTTCCGAAACGGTCATTTAATATAGATTTACAATTAAAAGTGAACTTCGTAAATGATGCAAACATAATCCGTGAGAACTGACAACTGGTCCACTCCACTTGTTGAACCGAGTAGATATCAGCACATCAGCTGCATTTCAAAACATATGTTACGCAATAAGCATTTCGTATCGTGGGCAGGTGATCGGAATCGTTTCGTTCAAGTTAAAGGGGGTGAGTTTTGCCCGTATTGTTTTCCAAATACCGATATATAAATAATGAGGGTTTTTTTGTGGGATACAAAAACCAAATAAAATGCATTCCATTTTTGCGACATCTATTGGTGGAAGTGGGCAATTAGACTGCCCGCTTAAATCAGTTTGAATATTTGTAAAAACGTGACTTCCGGAGGATGCACGGCGAAAATGTTAACGAATTATGGTGCGAATAATATTAATAAATTACCAATATGACAGCACAGGATTGCATTTTAGTAGGTATACTTACTACACAACGTCACAGACAACATAAACGAGTTCTAACACCACCCACCAATAGGCAAACAGAGCGCTATGGCCAAATGGTTAAAGACGCACTATATTATGCTATGGGAACTACGCAAGCCAATTTAAATGAGTTCCTACGCTAAGTCCGTAAGGCGCCTCACTCTACCACCGTACAAACTCCAGCGCAATTGCTCCTGCATGGAACGCGACCCCCGAACACATCTGAACCTGGCCATTGAATAAAAACTTATTCAATGACCTGGCTCAGATGCTTGAAGTTGGGAAAACCATTTTATTTCTTGTCGGGCAATTCAAATCTGGACACATGACTTCCTGCTACCATGGCAGCCCGCATCGCTGATTTGCGCATGAAATCCACTATCAAGGAAAAAATTCAACCGCCACATCCGTATTCACCGAGCGCTAATGAGATATTCGGCATGACATAATCCAATTAAAAGAGGGATTCCTCCCTGTCATGCATTGACCCACGCGTTCAAGGGTTTGTAGATCTAAGCAAAACAAAACAATGACGGTAGGTTTTCACGTTCATGCGATTTGTGCAAATAACTTGTGCATGCTTATTTGCGCAAATAAAACTGAACTTTTTAATTCGTTTGCACGGTCAGTCTAATTTGCCCAAAGTTCAAGAGTATCTCGTTTGTGAGCAGTTCACTTCTTATCGATGGACAACGAAGATGAAATTATTAGCGCTAGCTAGTATCTGTTGAATTAAAAAGCTAAAAATCCCAAAAAAGATACGATCAAGAAGGCCGCAAAAATGTTAAAGCTTCCCGTACGTGTACTACGCGATTGGTATAGAAGCTGCTCTTTACACGATCCAAGTACACCCGCGACTACGGTCACTCTATAGAGACAGTGTGGTCATATACGGTAATGTTATTTTATATTGATATAGTTGGGAGATTCTCGGTCTGTTGGCCAAATACACCGGATTGATGGAAATTAACCTGGCAACAAAGGTGATGAATTTACATTGCTGAACACAATTGTGGCAGCATTCTTGTAACCATAGCAAAATCGACTAATTCGCTTAAGCCAACCAGATCAATGATAAATTGGAAACAATATGGCCGACATATGGAGCATTATGGCCGCATTGTCTTCCTCTTAGTTAGACTTCTCTAAGTTCTTCCTACAGTCACTGTACCCACGACTACTGAACAGGTATCCCCTATCCGTGATCACCCATTTTGAATGAGAGCATAGTGCGAATAGCAATCAGGTCTTGGTATTCATGACTTTTTACTTCTTTTTCACATCAAATCACATTGTTATAATGAATGTGTTGAATGCCATACTTTCTAAAAGACTAGAACGAAGAGAACCGTTCTGGATCGAAAAAAATACGCAGAACCGAACCGTTATTTTTTTGTAGAACCGAAACCGGAACCGTTGTAAATATTTTCACTTAAATATAAACAGAACCAGAACCGATTTTTTATTTGGGTTCGGGTCCCTCTGGCACGAACGAGAAAATTCTTTTTGCCCTTTCAAAGGCAGAATATAAAATACTATAAAGATAAAAATTGCAAAAAAACCACCCGTTGGTTAACAAAACTCAGAAACTGAACTAAAAATTCAAAAATAGAATGTTCGTTGAAAATTGATCTTTACAATACCTATATTCATATTTCCCAATCTATTCTTACGATCCCAACACTTTTTAAATGAAAATGTTTCTGTGTTCTGTTGATGAAGTGTTTTTTAAAGTTTTGTTTATTGTTTCTATTATACCTTCACCCCTTCTTTTACTAAAAGGGCTGCTAGGTACCGGTTACATCAGTTACAATTTGCAGATGAAGCTATAACATAGGTATAAGACTTTCACAGCAAACTTTATGAAAGTCGCCATGCCAACAAGAATCAATAAATCGCTCATAATAGGTGCGTTATTATACCTACCTCATCACACCTATCGCTGTGCAAATTTACTGCATAATATGTATATGTAGAAGCACGCTGACGTCAAAGTGACAAATTATCCATTACTGGTATACCACGAAAATACCGAAATGGAGGGCGAAGAAGAATTTCAAATTGTTGAACAGGTAAGTTGATGTAGTTTGCTTTAAACACTTGGAAGGGTTGTGTCACAAACCTGTTGAATTAGTTACCGTATACACCTTGAATATCGGGAACCAACCCTTAAAGCATCATTGATGGTAGTGAAAAACTGAAAAGAGACAATTTGACACTTCTTAAGCGCTTTGGTCTTCAATTCCAATAAAATTAAACGCATATTCATTACCACAATCTGAAAAATGACGGTTCTGTACATTTGTGAAAATGTAAACATTTTTTTAAGGTTCAATCGGCCGAAACTCTTCCAGTAATCGAGGTTGAGGAGCTCAATCCCGAAGGATATGGAATCGGTACGGTTCTTTTTACAAATATGTACCTACATGAGTAACCCATTTTATATTAGACGATTTTCAACCTACCGCCGTATTTGAAGAAAACAAAGATTTGGACGCTATCCCACCTACTGATGCCGATACAGGTAGCGATAAAAATGGGTGACACCCACTAGACCCGTGTTTCTGTTTTTTAGAAGAAACCTCAAAACCAGAAGACCAAGCTCCTGATACGGAACAAGCTGTAGCCGAAGCAGTGACCGAAGCAGTGGCCGAACCAGGTGAAACGCCGGACGCTGAAGAGTCGGCGAAAGTGGTTGAAGGTAAATTGCAAGACAGCAGTCCACTCTTCTGAGTAGGGCGATACCATATTTTGCTAAGCAGCAGCAATTTGCACAAAAATTTGGATTTAGGTTCTACCATAGAGTAAATATATTATTTACTCTATCGTTCTACTTACCCTTTACTTAAAAGTTGACCCACTGTTGGAGGTTGCTTTTACTCTGAGGTGGATGCCACCCATTCTCGTATCATTGAAAATAGGTCCGGAAATTCATAGATTGGCTTAATTCTAAGCAAATTTCGTTATATAAAGTTTTTTATGTTCGACTCGATCATAATACGCTGAGTTATGACACTGTTTAGCGTCCATTAATCTGCTACTTTATTGGACTAGTCCATAATGATAAAGTAATTTGGACTCCTGTCACTTGTCAATTTCTTTGGAAAATGCATTTTAAAATTACGATCTGTTTTAAAGAAGAAGTACACGGAACAGAATGCTATAATTTAAAGAACACATATCTATATTATATATAGGTACTCAATTAATGTTAATAACACAGTTGTTGGTAATGTTAATTCCCGATGTACCTTTTTGATGCAATATTTCGGTGGTCTCTACGGCTTTTAAATTTCTGAACGAAGAATTTGCCATAACGATTCCCGTTCCCAAAATTTTGCTGGCAACACTAATTTTAGAATTGTCAGATCTCTGTCAGAATCTCCTTTTCTTTTGAGGTAAGGAATTAGGCTGGGAAATTTGCTTATATCCACTCCCTCATTTAAATTAATTGTCGATCGTAACATCGAGTACTTACTCCATAAAGAAGAACTTTTATAGGAGACCAACTCACTAAAGTACGCCAATATACAGTCTTCCGTGGTGCAATTGATTTTCTTCCCCTAGTACCACCTTCTGTATTCCCTGTATGCCGCCTCGTATACAGTTTTTGATTTGCTTGGTAAAAGCATTTCTCTGGCATTGCAGGCTAATTGTTGTATACTGTTGGACCCATCAATTTCTTCTGGACTCATCTTGGGATTCATAATTAGGTACAGAGAATTAGTTAATACCCAACGAAATTGACACTAGGTACACATCAACAGATTTTTTTCCAAACAACACGTATCTATGACAACACAAAAGGCACACTATGTTATTTCTGGTTATTAAATAGTGAAATCTATACCAAGTTTCAGCAAATTTTCAATACATACATGAACTACATTTTCCGAGTCGAACATAAAGCTAAGTATGTTACTCGTACATAATCAGACTTTATTATCTCGTCTTTTTTATTGGCCTCGCGCGCAAGCGCGCTCTGCCAATAAATTCGACTCGTCCACTAAAGTCATAGATTATGTACTTGTAACATAAATAGCTATTCTGAAAACCTAATAAGTACTTTTCGAACTATTCGCGAGTGAAGGTGTCAATTTTACAACCAAAAACCCACGTTTTCAGACGGTTTTTCACGAATAATTCGCAAAGTAAGTATTTGATCGAAAAAGCATTCTTAGTAAAAATGTAGTTTATAAAACAAAGAAAAAAAGAATGGCGGGTTTATGCTGTACTAAGTAGGCTCAATACAAAGCAAACATATGCCGATGTTTTTAGCGCATTTTTGCAAATTTATTTGTAAAAAGTAGCTTTTAATCTCACTTGGCTGGCTGGCTGGCTGGCTGGCTGGCAGCAAATGTGGGCGCGTAGAAGAACTCTTGTAGAAAGGCAACGGGTGTACGTGTATCTACAGGGCCGTGAAATTTGTCAACCTTAGGGACATGGCTACATGATGTGGGGTTGGCGACATCTGGGCGTCATCCTCGAGCGTAGTATACTAACGTGAAGGTTTTTCAGTTTTTTCCTATCTTCTACTACAGTTTTGGTCCGATTCTTTTCAAATTGGTGTCGTCGGAAAGATGTTGTAAACGCGCACAACTCCTGCGTGGCGGAATTTTGTTTTTTGTCCTAGGGGCGAAATTAACGACCTTTTGCGAGGCGCGCGCGCGCCTTCGAGAACTAGTCAACTTCGGGCGCCTTTTACCTTCCGTTGCGAACTCACGCGGTTTAACGTTTCGTAAATCTCGAATCGCTGTCTCTCTTTCTCGTGTCGCCAATAGAAGTGAATTGCGAGTGAACGGGACGTCGGAAGTGGTACCGTCAAAGGGAATGTGGTAGCCCGCGACACGATCTTACTGATGGTGGAGTCAAAACTTTAAAAGCAAATTGCGGGTGCGCGCGGAAAGTGGGAAGCGGTTAGTGAATGTAGTAGCCTTCGACAAGATCTGTTATTGATGGTTGAGTCGAAAGTGGCTAATAGAATACTGATCTGCCACATAAAAATGCGCTGAAGTCCCTTCGATCTCAAACGAGGACTTTGATAATTTTTTATAAAAAGACCATAACATCAAAACTAAGTAAGTTACCTATAGCGAAAATAATGTCAGTAGGTATTTATTTTTTCAGCAACAAAAAGAAATGTAAAAATCGCCCTCTGAAAATAATGGTTACTTTATTTATGTAAGTACTATCATTGACAAAAGTAATGACCGCGTAATAGGTAAACTTTAAGGCTGGACAGTACATACAGAACGGAGTATGTAAAGTTTTAAACTTTTAAGTTGTTTTTCCAAGATAACTTATCTATAAATGAAGTTGGAACAATTTCCAAAATTGAGAAATTAAGTTCGTAAACTTAATATCTAGGCAATAACCGGAAAATTTATTCCTTTATTCTTTTCTAAAATATGACACCAGAACAGCCCTCGACGTTACACTTAAAAAAGATTATTTTAAAACATTTTACTAAACCCTGGCGTTATTGTCTAGCTAGCTCAAGCATTCACCTTTCACAGGAATATTCTTCACTCAGAATTCAAATATCGTGGAACGAAATCAAGCGTTTTCGGCCAACCGAACAGGTGTACTGTCCAACCTGAACATCATAAACAACCAACATACCTATCACATCGGGTTCCGTCGGTTTTTTCAAGGAGGAGTACCTTAATTTGTTGGTTCGCATTTCCAATACCTTCAATATACGAGTATTCAAATGTCGGTTGGGTATGCTGCAGGATCGCCGTGAATTAGGCATCAGGTACCATAAAAACTTCAGTTTGCTGTTAAATAGCTCGTTTTGTTTCCATTTAATTATTCAAAGAAGGAGCTCTTAAGATATTATGGCTACGTCTAAATTTTCAATTATCCAACAAGGTTTTTGTTTTTAGCGTACCTATTTTAATAAACCGCGTGTAAGTGGATCTAGAGAACCGGCAGAGCAGTGTGATTCTACGGGATCATTGGATTTGAGTTTTGACCCAACATTACATAGTGGCAACTGATGCGCAAAGTTGGAACCGAATCGAGCCAAGCTTTTACCAGTTATCGCGTGTTCACAATTCCACAGACAGACAGACGCCATCGATTCCCCTAAAAAAACTTGTCTCGCTTTGCTCTGCCACTTTTAATAAAACTTAACTAGGAAGGTTAATGTAGAATATTATATTTTTTGAAATCGGAAAGGAAAGATCTATTTAATTTTTAAAAAATATACAGGGCGTTGCTTTAAAAATGTACCAACTTTGCTTTTTTTTTAAATTTTGCGATATTCATTTGCGCTTTTACCTTAAGTTTTCTGACGATTTATGATAAACCTCAGAACTTTCGTATATGAAGTTTTTGTCTATCTCTTATAATAAACGCGCTGCGCTCTGTCTAAACTAAATATACCATAAACCTATCAACTTTTGTTTTTTTATAAGCTACATTTTTACTAAGAATGATTTTGTCTATTAAGGTTGGGATTTCGCCTACTAATTTTATATGGCATAACACCTCTTACAATTTCTAGCCGATTTCGAAAACCGCACAATTTTTCGTAATGAGGAAAGGCTTAATATAACAATTAGACCTTCAACTATGCCTTAAACATATTTTCGGTTCGTACAATTCGCGGGAAATATTATAAAACAAGGGAATTCTGATTCGTATTTTGTCGGAAGTAAAATTGTAATAAAACAATGCCAGGGACATGAATTCAACTACAAATTTCTTTAAGGCATGCTTTAAGTATTGTAGAATGGTAAACACTCAACAGTTTTGAAGTTCTTGTTGTGGTTTTTCTTATTCCTTGGAAATAGTAAAATCATATTTTTCTTGCTGATCGCCATTAAAATACCGTTGTTCAAAACCTAAATCGCGTTTTTTGTGCCGATTACGTTGAAATACAGTGTGGCTATTCTTAGATAGGTGACTGTTGTAGTTACGCTAGTCGTTTTAAGGTACCAGTGCAGTTTAAAGAAAAAACTTTTGTCCTTTACTAAGAGTACTTCTCTTTTCAGGGAATCCCAGCCTTAAAGTAGGTACTGTAACCTATATTCCAGAAATACCGATAGGCATCGAGGCGCCATAAAAGATTGGTTGTTAATTAATTGCAAATAACCCCCGGTACAGGGTTAACTTTGAACAAGAGGATAAGTAACGCCTAAATCCAAATTCATGTAAAAATTGGTGCTGTTTACCAAAATTATACGAGAAAACAGTAATTGATTGGACTATATTTAGCAAATTGATATGTAGTATCCGGTATGACACAGTACCCTATATTTTCAATTGGCGTATTATTTATGCACTTATGTCCTTCACATTTTGGAAATTTACAGAGAGTGGGTAAGTATGAGTAGGTATGTAGATAGGGAGACATGTACTTGGATTAGTTTCAAGTGTAGTGTTTTTATTTAAAATAGAGTGATCAACTGTAGGTACATGTAATCACAATGTAGGTAGGTGCACATTATCGATGGGATCAGTGATATCTACTTATAATAAGGGTTTTCATTTCACTTCTTATCACCGTGACTAATTATGATAAGAAACTATTTTTGTACACAAGGTTAAAGGATACCTACCTGTTGACCTAATATGCGGGATACGAAAGAAAAATCTTAGTCTGTAAAGGGTGCAAAAATAGTTCGAGATTCGAGTATCTTACATGGTAGGTATTATGTATAGTACCAGGGAGCGAGTCCAGGGACTACTACCTCAAAAATCAAAAGTTTGGCCACCCCTGTTCAATATATAAAGGGTGCTCTCATTATTTTGCATGATTTTTTAAATTTTCTTTGTTGTGTTAACGTGGGCGAGTGATCTTCAAATACGGTCCTAACTCTTTAAATGCCTTTGAAAACTCAAGGCGCCTATTAGTTCGTACTTCATGACGCCCCACGTCTCCTTCCTTTATGCTTTCTGACTTTACTCTCATTTAATCCATCTTCCTGTCGGTCTGCTCCTCATTTTTTAACGTTTGCTCAAATTTACCCCGCGCTACATCTTCTTCAGGCCTTCTTAACATTGTAATTTTGATTTTTATATGACTTTTACGTGTTGTTCTTACATTATCTTTTCTTCAAGCCTCATCTTTGCTCATCCTTTTAGCCCGTATGCTTCCCTTTTTTACACATGGTTTCTTGCAATTTGTTTCCTTCGCGCCCATTTCACGCCTACTTTGTTTGCACCTCTCTCCTACACACGTCTTCCTTTACATCCATTTTCTTTACGTTCTTTCACACGTTCATTACCTCTGTCACACTTGAGCGAAAAAAAGCAACCTTTTAAAAATTATAATTTTTAATTGGTTGGAGGCTGATACCCGTCTTTTACAAAACCCACTGGATAGAAGAGCAGAAGCAATTGAAAACAAACTTCTCCAGAACTAAACAAAACAAGTATAAATTGTGCACAACTCTTGTACAGATAAAACGCATTTTTTAACCGAAATAGCTTTTGTTTTGACATCATCAATGGATATAGTTCTTGCAGACGTCTTGTGAGTACCCTCTCCCGACAATCCGTTCTTGAGGTGTAAGGGAATATACCCGATCACGATAAGAGGTCGAGGAGGAGGGCTATGGTTTTTAGAAATTAATTCCTTTCGTTGAGACCTTTCATTAGAGTACCATGAAGGATAAAACTAGTTCCACCCCCCTCCCCCTACCTTGATAAGAGGACAGAAAGAAGGGCAGTAGTTGGTAGAAAACGGTTCCTTTCGTTGAGACCTTGAATTAGAATACAATGAGAGATAAAATTAATTTTTAACCCCCCACCCCCACCCTCAGACCCCCCGCTCACTGATCTCGAAAAAGAGTCGCACGGGAAAGTTATAGTTTGTACAAACCAATTTATTTCGATTAAACCTTTCATTAGAATACCATGAAGGGCAGAACATGTGCCCCCCCCCTTCCCCATTTTCTAAAGGTTAACTTGGCAACACTAAAGGCATGCGTATGCAAAATCTGCACGTTTGACTTTCAAAAACATCATCTTAGGGAATAATTCGTGGGGGGGTCTACCTACTGCAAACAATTCCAGGACTCTAGGACCAAACGCAAACAATAGCACATTTTTTTTTAATTCTTAAAAAATGCGCTAAAAATATCAAACAGAGATTTTGCAGCTATTGATAATTACCAATGGGCCACAACAGCAGCTAATTTCCGCAATTCCGAAATAATTACCGAACTACGGAATTAACCCAAAAAAGATGCTGTGGGGTTCTGGTTATTGGTATATCGGAATCCTCCTATTAGAACTCAAATTTGTACAAATCAGAGGATAGTAATGCATTTTGTCATTCCTGAGCACCTAACCAAGCTTGAACGCAAATACCAATCTTGTCCGCCACTTTGTGCCGCTCTATCCGTCCATGACCAATACTCATTTTTTATAATTGTTTTAATTCCTTTTTTAATTTAGGTATAGGTATACCTAATTTTAAGTTAATTATATGTATTCAAATATTTCGCGGCATCCTTATGAAGTGCTTGCGGCACCCACTTTGAGAACCACCGCGCTATAGTACCTATACCATGTGTTTTAAAAACTCCCATACCCCTGGGAGTAGAGGGTGCTAACACGGTGGTGCAAAAATCTCATTGCTATTAGGACACTGAATAATACGATAAATACAAAAAGAATTTTTGTTTCTAAAGGCACTATAAAGGAACACATTTTAGATATTATCATTTGTAATACACATAATTTTTAGATGTCAACGAAGGAAGAGTGTCAATCCTGCAGAGAAAATCTAAAGAAAAACGTCGTGATTCTGAAATGGGGCCCATCTCCAAAGAGAGTCTCCTGATGGATCAGTTTGCATTGATTTGTAAACCAATTAGAGTAAAAGCAGCGACCACTAGGCCCATATGATACTAAGGTCCCGGACCCCACAATTCAAACTTTTTGTCATCGTACCCCTCTCTCGGTCCATCCATGCGATAACGCTTGAATGGAATTAGGTACCTTACAATCATTCCGAACCTAGTGGTGGCTAGCTTTCACCACATAGGTACATTCCATTGACCACAAGCTACAATTTTTCTAGCTCCCGAAGAAGAGGAGGAGGAAGAAGAAGAAGAAGAAGAGCAAGAAGAAGTAGAACAATACATCCCAATCGACCGCGAACCGTACTATGCACGCTACAAGCTACTAATTCCAGAACGCAACTCCAAAAAGGTCAAAAATAACCTACTACATCGCAAAATGGCGGAATACTTCAAAAAGAAGAAGGTATACGAGAATAATCACCGCGTAGATATAATCGATTCAATCTTACTCCACAGATGGAGCACGTACTCAAGGAAACGGACCAAGACGTCGACTCCCAACAGAAATACGAAAAAAAGCTGCAAGCGCTGGCGGAATTCAAAATCTTAGAGGCACGCGAAAGGAACAGTACAGCGAACGAACTGGACGACATGCGCGCACAAAGAGATGAACAGCTCGCTCTTCTCAACCACCAGTTTGACGCGATGCAAAGTAGGGAGAAGGAAGTTGGCAGCGGTCTCATCAACACCAAAACTGGAAGAGAAATTCCGACGAAGGTAGGAACGCCTTACATTTGCATCGCTTATAATAAGAGTTTAGTTAGTAGAACAACTGATAAAAAGGCAAAAGGATAAGACGACCGAAATTGCAAGTAAGCGTCTCGCTTACATCAAATTGAGAGACCGCGTAGGCGAGAAAAAGGATGCCCTGCACAAGCTGGATGTGATCGGTGAAGATTTGCATTTGATAGACTACGAGCAGTTGCAAATCGAGCATGCGAGCTACACTGACAAGGTAAAAGAACGTGATGCAGAACTAATCAGGCTGAGATTCAAATGTTCCGGTTCGATGCAATGCCTTGCGCACGTTAGGGAGAAATGCGCCGCGCTTCAAATGGATATGCAACAGTTGAAGGAGCAGTACGAAGATGTGGGGAGTGAAGCAGATGATGTAAGTGTTCAATTTATGCTCGCAATTACGCTTGGTTTTCAGTGTAGGGAGCGATTAAATTGTGTAAAACAAGAACGGGACAATTATCGCACGAGCATTCGTCGATTGGTTGACGATTCGGGTTTGCTGACGAAACCGAAATTACTATCGCACATGGAACAGTCGTTGGAGGAAGTGAAAATGTTGGATCCGCGCATTGACGAGTACAAACGACATTTCGAAATGACCGAGCAGGCGTTAAAGGCGATCAAAGATAACTTGGCTAATAATCGCACGAGGAATAGTACCTCGTCCCAATCATCAGAAATAACGAAGGGCAGGAAAAGTTACAAAGGGCGGCCAACTTTGTTTATTCCAATGCTACCACCCGCTTCTTCTGATGTATGCAATTACAAATAAATTCATTTCACTTTAAATAACTGACTAATCCATTCCTTTGATCTTGATGGCTACCTTACCAACCTAATCTTAATTGATCAAATAAGTATCTGAAGATGCTATAATCTGTGGTATTAAAAAGCTCAATACAGCTGGTTCGATATATGGTTCGGACCAAATTCCGTCATTTTTTATAAAAGATTGTGGCAACGTATTAACTCGTCCACTTCTACACATTTATAATTTGGCTTTGAAACAGGTGTATTTTTCCCGACATATGGAAAACTGCCAAGGTGTGCTCAATATTAAAATCCGGAACGAATTCGAAAATTGAAAACTATCGACCGATTTCCATCCATCAAATTCAACAGCAGCTGTCGCAACACCAACATGGATTTGTTAGGAAAAAGTCAACCATATCGAATCTTGCAGCATTCTCCCAGATTTTCTCAGAAATTATTGACGAACAAGATCAAATATGGATGTCATTTACACAGATTTTCAGAAGGCGTTTGATCAAATTGACCATGCTATAATTTTGAATAAATGAATTGATTATGGATTTTGTGTTGGTCTAGTAGTAGAATAAAAATGAATTTTTTCAAATAATTTACTCAGTATTCTGTAGGTGATCGATTTCGAACCTACCGATTCATCGTTAGACCTATAGGCTGAAATATGAAAAACGTACAACTCATTTTTATTCTACAACTTCATCAACAAATAATTAAAAATGGAGCAGTACATCATCAAAAAATCTTAAGATCATACTTGTTAAACCGAACCTTTGAATATAAAATATATATTCAAAGACCGAACCCAATATGTCGGGTATAATGGCTATTAATCTGTACCATTTTACTGCAACTTCAGGTGTGTCCCAAGGATCCAATTTGGGTCCTCTACTATTTTTAAAATTTATTAATGACTTGTCCCGTCGTATATCGTCGCATAAGCTGTTGTTCGCCGACGATCTCAAAATTTTTTCTCAGATCATCTGCAGAGCCGATATCGTTAAACTTCAACATGATTTGGAATCCCTACAGGAATAATGCGCCGATCTAACAAACTAAATTTGAATGTTTCGAAATAATCCAAGACAATGACTTTTTCTCGTAAACGTAATCAACTGCAGTACGACTACACTGTAGCTAGCACCTTTGAATATAAAATATAGTTCAAAGCTGGCACTGTATATTGGAAAGGGTGAAAATAATCAAGACTTAGGAGTATACTTTGACTTTCCTACCACATAAACGACATGGTAAAACGCTCAACTCCGCTTTTACCGATACGTATACCATGAAGGCTCTCTATACATCCTTGGTTAGGAGCAAATTAGAGTATGGAGCGTTGATTTGGTTCCCTCTGTATGTAAAATACGCTGAAGCAAATGAATACATCCAGCGGCGTCTTGTTAAATACCTATATAGGTACCTACTACAGGAAAGAGTATCCGCCCAAGGAGTTTTCTCGGCAGATAATGTGTCAACGGTTTGAGCTGCTGTCCCTTAAAACTAAACGTCTCTGTCTTACTGTCTATAATTTCTGTATAATCTCTTAAATAATAAAATTGATTGCACGTCTGTGCTCGGGAAAATTGGATTCTGCCTCCCACGTTTGTCCTCAGGATGGCCAGCACCATTTTCCTCACACCGCGGGTGGTGAACTAAGAAGGACGCTCTACGTTAAAGGAATTTTAAATGGAAATACATGCACCGAAAAGAGATATCAATAGGTAAGTTATTAAGCCTTGTTCCCACGGCGCGTGGCTCGTCGAGCCTCGTCCGGAGATCGGCGAGCCACGCGCCGTGGGAACACAAAAGTTCGTGGTTCGCCGAGCCGGCTCGTACAGGCGCGTGTAGGCTCGCCCGTATCCGTTCATTGTCGGTACATCAAAGGCCTGTGGCTGGGCATATCACGAGTCACAGATCAGATGCGTGTAGTGTTCCAACGGGCGCGTATAGTTTTCGTTTAAATAATAGTAGTATTTTTTAAGTGCTATATAGAAAGTATTTTAAGTAGTGTTTTGAATTGAAAATGGAGTGGACAAATGAGTTGGTCCTGGAGTTTCTGGAGTTGTACGAAGCGGAACCTCTCATTTGGAACCCGGGATGTGCTGACCACAAAGACCGGAATAAGTGCTTTGATGCGTGGAAAGGAATCCAAGAAAAGTTCAGCGTCAGCGTTCCAATTGGTGAACTAAAGAAGAAGAAGGACAATTTGATGGCAACTTTTAGGAAGCTGGCGACTAAGGTGAAGAATAGTAAAGTAACTGGGGCTGGAACTAATGATGTTTTCAAGCCAGATTGGTTCGCATACGAGAAAATGGGATCGTTTTTGCATACAATATACACACCAAGGAAAACGCAAACATTAGAGGAGGTAAGTGTTGAGGACATGTTATTTTTTTATTTTAATAGAAAATTAGATCTTGTACAATAGACTAGTAGAACTAGCTAGGGAATGAGAAATTTCATAAATGCTAATTGTAATCATGAAGATTGCCAATATTTCTCAATGAGATAAAGCATCTTTGGACTGCTGTTTCAGACTCTTTTGCTCCTTGCTGACGAGGACTAATAGTCCGAAACAGCTGTCCAAGGATGCTTTATCTCATTGAGAAATATTGGTAATCTTCATTATAAAAATACTGGTTTGTTACAAACTACATTAATTATTATTTATTGTTTATTTTCTTTTATTTTTGATCGTTTTCGTCCTTATCAGACATCTTCAGAAAATTCTGAAACACAAAAAAATAGAATAAAAATGAAATATACAATGGAAAATGAAGTAAAAACAATAAATAATTAATGTAGTTTGTAACAAACAAGTATTTTTATTTTTATAATAATGACTACATACACCCAAAATGTATTATATTTAATCTTCATTATAATAATATACAGAGGATCCACTGTAATTAACAGTACTTGTCTTGCCAAGATAATTTACCACTTGTTGTGAAATAAGCCGCAAAGGCGTCACGAATATTCTTCGCATCTTTGCCTGCGTTCCTAGGTACCTTCTTTAAGGACAAGAAGGATGTCATTCCATTTGCATCTTTTCTCCACGATCCCTCAATTATTTCACCATCGACTTCAGTGTCAAACGTACCAGGAGGAGTATAGGATGCGGTGGCTGTTGGACTTCGCCTTAGGTAGTTGTGCAAGAGGACGCATGCAAGGGTAACATTGCTCACTTTATCAGGCTCTAAAGCCATTGGTCTCCTGAACACACGGAACACTGATGACAATATACCGAAAACATTTTCAACAACTCGCCGTGCACGAGACAACCGGTATCCAAAAGTTCTGTGGGGACTTCCTTTTTCATGAGTTCCAGGATATGGCTTCATCATACGCCGACTCAAGGCAAAAGCTGAATCACCAATGAAGACATACGGTAATGGTTCATCAATTGAAGGCAGCTTCCTATCACTAGGCAAATCCAGTTCATCCTTTTGTAACTTAGAGTATAAAGACGTATTGTTGAACACTCCTCCATCACTGATCCGGCCTTTGGCATCCAATGTCCACAAATATGAAAGGATAGTTGGCATCTACTACTGCTAGAAGTACCACACTAAAGGTCCCTTTATAATTGTAGAATTCTGATTCCGTGTTCTTTGGGCACTCAATAACGATATGCTTCCCATCGATTGCGCCTAAACAATTAGGAAAGTTCCATATCTTCTCGTAGTCTTGTGCTATTTTCAGCCACTCTTCTTCGTTTGAGGGCAACTGAAAAAAATAAAAAATTAAACAGTAGTCAGTAGTCCTATAACTTTTGAACGGCTAGGAATTTTGAGGTTCTGTTTTTGAGGTATATTTTTAATAAGAACACTCTTTTTTCAGGTACTGACAGACGAAGAGGACTTTGATGTTGCATCACCTGCTGAAGACACTACAACAACTAATGAAAGAGTTAATTTGCAAGCAAATACTGAGCCTCCTGTTGAGACTGGTAGCACAGTTGAACCCGAGGAAAGTCAGCCTCCAGGTGTCAAAAAAAGGAAAGTCGTGCAGCCAAAGATCATTGAAAAGAGTATGAATGACGCTTTTACATTGTTGAAACAAGTTGCTAACAAACCGAAGGCAGTAGAAACAAAGGATGAAAGCTCATTATTTTGCGAGTTGCTGATTTTAAAATTGAGAGCGCTAGATAATGAGACTCGAGAACTCGCTATGCATGACATTGACAATTTAATGTTCTCTTATAAGAAATCCACCAGTCAGCCGCCATATTGGTCTCAAATCTACCAGCAACCGGGATCCAATGCTCACTCATTCAGTCATAGTCGGAGTCAAACACCTGCGTCATCACATACTGGATCTGTACATTCTGCATCTTCGTATAACATTCCAACAGCAACTTCAATGGGAGTGCTTACCACCGCCCCTCCAAATGAGTAATGACAGTAACGTGTCAATGACCACTGCAGCTGACTTCTTTACAAATTTCTCAGAAATTGAAAGACTATAGATTTTAAAAATATGTTTGAACAAAATAATAAAAAATTCAATTAAATTCAATATTTTAAATATTCAATATTTTTTCAACTTTAAAATTATTATTATTTTTTTTTTTTTTTTTAGAATACTTTGTTTATACTACCGAGATGAGACTATTATAATTCTACAAAATAAATATGTACCTCCACTTCGTCTTTCAGTTCTTGTATTATGGCCAGACACACGTCATCAACACATCTGGAGATGGTTTGCTTTGAGACCTTGAATAAGTAGGATAAACTTGCAAAAGAATCGCCTGTGGCGAAAAATCGTAATGCTATCGCTAGTCTTTCTTGACTGGGAACACATTTTCTCATGTTGGTATCCTGTTTCGCTATGAATGGCCCGATTCTGCTCAACAAATTTTCAAAATCAGTAGCTGTCATTCGGCAAAAATTCTCAAATCTGCCTGATGGTTGGCTTCTCAGATCGCACAGCATATTGCTAGCATTGTACCTACAAACAATAAGAAAGAGAAATAAATTTATACTTTTTTTTTTGCAGAATTTTTAAAAGCGCTTTAAAACGGCAATAGAAGGAGTAGCTTAAAAGTTAAAAATTAGAAAATGTTGGGCGATTACAATACTTTCCTTAATATAGGTATAGGAAGTAATGTCAAAAAATCTGGTGTGAACATCACACGACTTTCCTACTTATGAGGAGATAAGGAAAGTAAAAACAAATAAAAGCAAGTCGACTCAATACGTACCTTTCACGACTTTTATTCAGTGCTCCCATCCACCAACGCCTCTTTTTCTTTTTCTTCAATAAGCACTGACCGCTCAGCAATATATAATAAGCGGCTAAGGCACACACTTCCTCATCATCGCTATTCATATTTTATTTAAAAAAAAAACAAAAACAATCCGTTTAGTTTCAAAAAAGAAGTTTTAAATGACGAGCCATATAATTCGACAGTTTTTCAATTTGACAATTGCGGATGCTTAAATCTACAGGTCATGGCTACATGATTTTCTGAGTTCATTTTATTTTGGGAATTTTTGATAAAATAATGAGAAAATACAAATAAAACTTAACTAATTCGCATTTAGTTAGATGAGAAAAAAATCTTCTTTCCAGTGGTGCCATTATGAAACACGGCGGACATAGAAAGGATAAAAAAGAGGTTATGAGTGGGGGGGAAACGCGTTACCATTGACTGTGGCAAAATAAAGTGACATTGCCAAGTCAACCTAACTGACATGCGTGCTACGCTATCTCCCACCACCGCTACATTCTCTCGGGCGTATTGTTTGATATCTTGGTAGTGAACCATTAGAAAAATTCGCCAAAGTGTTTAGCATCTTCACTTCCTTTATTTGAACACATAGGTACAGATTGTAACATAGAGTGACATGCTTACAATAAATTTCATTAAACATAAAAATAAGACTGACATAAATATTGAAAGAATTGAAAATAATAAACTTCTTTAGAAACTTATCTAAAAGTTCGTGATTACATCTTTATTACATGCGTCATTAAGCTAAATGAAAGGATTTTATATGTACAAAGGTGAAAGAAAAACAGCAGTCCTATTTTAACTCACTGGACTACTTATGTTACGATTTATAGAGCACTCGATGATTTCCATTAAACAACGACCAAATTCCTCTATAATCTGCCTTTTCGTTAACTCCTCATCTTGTTCGCTAGATTCTGCATTATCGGACATCGTCAATAAACACTGACTGGTCGCCTCTATTACGTCATCCGTTATAAAACTAAAGGCGTGCCTAAAATACAAATGCTTAAAACTGACCGAAGTTCTCGATGGACGTACCTGTTATTGAAGTGTTTTCTCGGTCGAAATTGCAATATGCTGTTCCTGGCAGTGGTGGTGGTGGTCAGTTTGCTCATGAGCGGTGGACTGACGGGAATCGGTATATTTAGACTTACTTGCGTTGGACTCTTCTTATCCAGGGAGTCTTCTAAATTTCGGCAGCCGATACATTTGCAATTGCTTGAACATGCAATTTTGGCCTTGAAAAAAAAAAGGTAAAATGTAATAATTTAAAAAATCATTCTTTAATTGGTCTGTAACTGCACCTTCAATTCAGAGCGACACAAAAAAATAAGCTTACCTCGTAACATTCACAGTAATTTTTCAAACAGCCCGACCTCTTGCAGTTGCACCCCTTTGTGTGTTTCCGTACGGCCGTGTCGCCCGTATCCTTGGCCTTGCCTATCTTCGGCCGGAAGGCGTTCGGATTTCGTTCCAGACAACTCTTGATCGCCCTCTGACGATGCTCCTCGTTGTCCAAATTGTTGTAGCAATTCATGCAGTTGCACAGGTAGCAGAATTCGCCGTTCGCGAAACAGTCGCAGTACAGCTTCAGGCATTGCGATTTCGTACAATTGCACGGTTTACGGGGTCGCATCCCGTTCGATTCGAGATTGCCGTCAATGGGATTGTTGGTTATATCGGGCACGGGGAGCGTTTTTGTCGTTGACGGTCTGGCGGGAATGGCGATCTTGGGCGTAGTCGACTGCTGTAGATACGTCGTGGGCAAAACTACTAGCTGACCCGATGTGGGCAACACTGTATTTGTACGGGTTACACTGGCGGTTTTAATGGACTTTGGCGCCATATTTGTAGTGACAGAAGACTAGAAAAGTTGTAATTGAGCGAGTTGCACTCGGTTTAATCTAGAGCCTCCCTTTAACTTCCTCTCTTAAACTTTTCCTCAATTATTCTCAAATTTCTGAGACTCAAAAGTACTACAAAAATTTAGGGGGAAACAAGACCATTTTTGGCGTACACCAAAAATTGAAATTCAAAATTAATTCACGTTAATTCAAATTAATTCACATTGAATCACGTTGATTCACATTAATTCTCGTTAATTCTAATTAATTCACGGCGGATTTTTTCTGGGGATAAATTTTTACACAAGTATTATACCAGGAAAACATTTTCCAAGAGCGATTTTATCAATCTTAATCTTCAGGACAAGAATTTTTCCATTTCAAGAGCGATTTTTTTACGTTTTTGGAGACAAATTTTCCACGCAAGTTTCTGGAGCGAGTTTTTTACGGGAGTATTTCAGGGCAACGCAAATTTTTCAGATTTTTTGGGGACCAAATATTCGAAAGATGATTTTTTCAACATTTTCTGTAGATGAATTTCCTTTTCTGGACGAATGTTCCAAGGGCAATTTTTGGAGCCTACATTTTCCGTAGATAAATTTTTCGGAAGCGAACAATTTTTGGGAGCCAAATATTCCAATAACGACTTTATTCGGTATAGGCGAATCTGTTAGGAAAGAAGTCTTCCAGGAAGAACCCTCCCATACAGGAAATAAACAACTCAATTCCTCAAAACCTTCACCATGGATATTTAATTATTGACGAACAGATATAATTGTGAAATGTTACGCGGCATGCTCGTGGTTGATCCATACTCTAAATGCCGTAACATTTCACAATTATATTTGTTCGTCAATAATTAAATATCCATGGGGAAGGTTTGAGGAATTGAGTTGTTTATTAAATGTATGGTTCATCCTTTGAGTATATAATCAAAGAGTTCATCACCCCATTTAGAGTATGGACACGAACTCATGAATTAAGATGGACTGCTGATCAAACAGTTGCATAGAGCTAGAAATGGCCCTAGCATGGGCGCCGCCATGATGTGCACATTTTAGTTATTTTCTAAGGGAATTTTCCTAGTGCTCAAGTTTTGAAAGTATTGCAGCCTTGGAAAATGACATGTCACAGTAATTTATTTAGAAAACGAGAGGTTAATGCTTGTTTATTAGTTGACTTGAATTTCGCGCCAAGTGAGTGCACATCATGGCATTAGCAGTCCATCTTAATTTGTAAGTTCGTGAGTACCCATAGATCAACCACGAGTTTTTTCTGAAGAACCCTCCCAAAAATTTGTGGGGGGTGAAATTTTCATGCAAATATTACGGGAGGAAAATTCGTAGAGGCGAATACTCCCTGTATGAATTTACGGGTTGAATCATACAGGGAAGCATTTTAAAAAGGCGATTTTTTCATAGCAAATTTGATGCCTTGTATATTTTTTTCGGAAGACAAGTCTTTAGGGGTCAAATATTCCGGGGGCGATTTTTAGAGAGCATCAAATTTTCTTGAAAGGAATTATTCACGCAAGTATTCTAGCGACGGTAGATTTTTCCGATGCTTTTTGTATGAGAGCGATTTTTACGAGATTTCTAAGGGCGATTTTTTTTACAGGGATCGGCGTATTTTCGAGAAACGCATTTTCAAGGGCAAATTTTATCAGGACTAAAGTTTGTACAGAGATTTTTTCGAGACTAAATTTTCTGGGGAAAATTTTTCACGCAAGTATTCGAGGGAAAAGCTTTCCAAGAACGATTTTTTCGTGTTTAAATTTTCAGGACAAGAATTTTTCCATAGCGAATTTTCCCAGGGCGAGAGTGTTGAGTGTTTTTAATGTCAAATATTCCAAGGGCGATTTTTTCGAGGCTAAATTTCCAAGACAAAAATTTGTTATATAATATTATTCCAGGAAAGAATTTTCCGGTGCACATATCCCCAGAGCGACTTTTTCAAGCTTACATTTTCCGGAAGCGAATTTTTCCATAGGGAATTTTCCCAGAAGAAGTTTTCCGTGAACAAGTCTTTGAAGATCAAACACAATAGTGATTTTTTCGAAACTACATTTTCAAGAAGAGAATTTTTTTATAGCGAATATCTCCAGTGAGAAACTTTTCTGGGAGCCTTTAGAGATGAAATGTTCCAAGAGCGATTTTTTAAGCGAAACCAAATTTTCTGAAGCGAATTTTCTGGAGATTTACAAGGGCGTTATTTCAGGAATCGTTCATTTTTTAGAAACGAATTTTTCTTAAGGGGAACAAGTACCATTTTTGGTGTACACCAAACATTCAAATTAATTAACGTTAATTCATGTTAATTCACGCTAATTCACATTAATTCTCGTTACTTCACGTAAATTCAAATTAATTCACGCTCATTCAAATTAATTCACGTTAATTCGAATTAATTCAAATTAATTTACGTTAGTTCAAATCAATTCACGTTAATTTAATAATAATAATAATATTTATTGTGTTAGTAGGCATAACCTTTACACTTGTCAGTAGTTACAGATATAGAGTATACAGGGTCATTCTTGACGAGGGTCAGTTAGAAAGATATGGAAAACCGTTGAAAATGAAAATAAACTGATAAGACCCTTGGGTCTTGGTACATGATGAATTGAACTAAAATATTTTCAAGATGGTGCCACTTCCAATACCGGAAGTAGCCATCAACTTTGTTATTTTAAATAGGGACCCCCTATTTTTTCTACATTTTCGGATTCTTTTGGAGTACAGCGATATCCCATAGTTGACCCTTTGCTCCAAGGGCTTCGTCGATATTCAAGTTTTTATGTCAAAAATTGAATTTGCAGGGGTAACTTTAAAAATTTATTATTCGAAAACGGTGAGAGATATTGCAAAACTGTTTTCAATGCTTTATTAAGGAAAGTTTGAATTTTCTTATGGTATACGAAATCGGTTAAAAAAGTGAGACTACGTCACTTTTTCAAATCTCTCAACTTTTAAACCTTTAAATTTCGGTAACTCCATTTTTTTAAATGGCATCCCCCATTTTGTTCTTCACCGTTGTTTTCCTTTTTCCTAGACCTTTAATTTGATACAAAATGTCAAAAGATGCTTCAAACGGTTTCCGAGATATTCCATGTTTTAGTTACTTCTTGTAGCAAATTAATAAAAAAATTAATTCGCTTGGTGTTATTCTTTTGTTTTTATTATGATAATGTTTAAACGTCAAAGTATCGCTTGTAGTAATTTGCGAATTGTCGCCTCTGTGGGTTGCGCATTGTCAGGGTATCTTTCGGAAAAAAGACGGCAAGTCCTGGCCGCGATTCGATTACATTCACCGTGTATTATTATTAAATTCAAAAAATCTTCATTAGTGTAACCCAAACGAGCCATTATTGACAAGAAGTTCAAGCAACGAACATTAAGTGGTTAGTGATAACGTTTGTTTATAAAAGGTAGTGTTGGCAGAAAGGATGATTTTCATGATCGCCGTTTGAATGCAGAGAATTTTCTTCACTACCTCCCCCCCCCCCCCCCTTCAAGTTTGACATAGGCGATTAGTTTGTTTTATTAGAAAAAGGGCTTCGGCTTTCCGCTCCTTAAATAGTAAAGTTAACCATTAACTCGATTTTCATTTTTAACCGCTTTAAAAATGCAGAGATTTCGATGAAATTTTGTTTGTTTCTCGAAACGATTTCGCATCCATACTAAGAAATCTGTAGATCAAAAATGTCCCGGAGCGGCTGTGGAGCATCACCGTCGAGGGGCGCGGGCGCGTTTAAAAATTCACCGCTGCACGTACTTGGATTTGGCGCGTCGCGACGCCGACTGGGGTAGGTAGAGATAGTTGGGTCAACTTTTCGTGAGGTCGAAAAAATTCCTGCAGCATCCGTCGGGGTAGCTGCCGTAAGAAGCGAAAATTTTGGAAAAAAAATCTTAGTATCCGATTCCGGTTTTCTGGAGATCGTGGGGGACATAGAGGAGCGAGTTTGTGCGGCGGTGGGATTAAAATTTCAGATAGGTCGCAAGGAATCGACTTGCTTTTTGAATAGTCACGGCTGAAATATCAAAAACACGTCCCATCGAGAAACGTAAAACGGTCTACCAGATGAGCAGTCATGTAGACGTTATTTAAAATGATGACAGGACACCCTGTATATGATTTTGTTAAAGTAAATCAGGGTAGGTTATTTACGAATTGCTTGAATTTGTTTGCATTTGCATAATTTTTGTTAAAATTGTATCGTTTTGTGTAAACTGCTCAATTTAAATACGACGCATTAACTGAGAGACATCTGGTCATTTGCAATAACAGTTGCGTCTCGGCAGTTACGACCCCACAGTTTCACCTGTGGTGGAAGGGCATTACTCCAGCCGCCGGCACACATTACCAGCCCACATCGTGGCGTGACAGTGCAGCCGAAGTGGTTCGCGACTGCCAAGATCGGAATAGTACTTTTCGGCGTAGGTGGACGCTCTGGTCGCGTTTGCCGTCTACGCCGCGTGTTGCCGCTCACGTAGGACAACGCGTAATTGTAATTAGCGCATTATTTGTTAATACCAACATTCTAGAATGGAAACGGTGTTCTCTTAAAACGAAAAAAAGTACATCACAGTGACGGTGCTGGTGAAGTAACAAGCGCGGTTAGAAATGCAATTTTATTTCCGATGAAACGGATGTAAATATTTACAAATTTGCGCACCGTAGGGTTCACGACAACGCCCCACCCATGAAAGAAATCCTAAAGGTCCCTTGTAATAATTCCGCCTCAGGAGGACCCCTTCACCGAAAACCTAAAAAGAAATTTAAATTCCTTTCCATACTCCTCACCCAACTACTTGAATGATTGAAGACCTACCACAGAAATTCGAGGAACACCTTGACAACGCCCCTTACATGATCCGGTAACGCAAAGCATACTAAAAAAGGACGGAAACGAACGCGCGAACCGAAATCCACCTGCAACCACTACCATCACCACACTGAACGCGTACCGACCGCGAACTCCACCCCTATGACAACGACCCGCAACGCACCAAGGACACAAGCTTATACCTGCACAATATTGCATGGACAAGGATAATCACTCTTGCATTGCACATATCATCAATCATTTACTATCCAAGGGCTCCAGAGGACGCAAATCCTGAGCAATCTGCCATTTGTCCATCACTAACTCCACCTAAACATTTTTTGATTGATTGTGTGCATTTATTAAGCAACCATCCGCGGTGACGAACCTGTATTAGTCGTTTTCGCAGAGCGCGCTGTGAATGTTCCAGTTCAATTTGTTCACTAGGTGAAGAACCCCAGCCAAGCGGATTCTATAAGCGGTCCGTGCATATCGCAGATGGACAACAAGTTTAGTTCCGGACCGAAGAAACAGTAACAGCGAGGATTCTATAGCCGGTCCGTGCGGACCACAGTTACGGGACCAATGATTTCCATTCTAATTAGAGCTGGGAACTTTAGTTCACTTTACCGATTTCGATCTTTCGATCTCGATCAGACAAGTGAATAGTACAAAAGTTTAGTTCATTTAGTTCACTTGCTCTTATGCTAGTCTGCTGGTATTTTTTAGCGAACTGGATCGAAAAAGCAGTACAAGCACGTTGTTTTATTGGGACAAAAAATAATATAGCTGATCTTTAATTAAAGGAATTCATTTACAATAGAAAAAAAAGAAAAAATAAACGACATTTTTGTAAACTAAATATTTCTTCATAGATAAAAAATAGAAATAATAGAATTGAAACTGTCAGGCGCCCATAATAACAGCGTGCGAAAATTCCGACGTGTCAGCAACTAGCAAGTCTCCTACTAAAAATAGTCAGTGGTGAACGGAACGCTCGGCTCGCTAATTTTGTTGTAATTGTAACTATAATTCTCGCGCTGCGAGGATTGAATCGCTCCGTCTCCGTCTAGCTCGTGCCGATGATACTGGTCCCGGAGTATGATTGCATCAGCACTGCGTTCAAGTTCAAGATCAAGTTGAATAGTTGATACAATCGTACCTCGCGAGCTGCGTTTAGTTTAGTTCATGCGGATTCGATCTTTTTATTCATAGTGATCGAATCTTTTAGTTCACTTGTAAGATCCAATCTTTTGAACTAGTTCGCTCACGACCTACACAGCTCTAATTCTAATTGAAATCCGTGACCCGAGTGCAAGTATTTATGAACAATTCTTCTATCGCGTTGTAGTATTGCCGCTTTGCGTCGTCTTACCATTCGTTGTAGTTAACCTCATTATAGAATTGTACTAGCGTCGTAGTGTATTGATCTATTAATTACTTATTGAATTTATGCTCAAGCGCTATTTAATGTTGTATACTTATGTAAAGACGTTTACACCACCTCCTTGCAATTTTGCATCAAGTTGGTGGACACAGAGTGCCACTAGAATTTAGACCTGCACCTGAAATTCTAAATATATTGCCGTATTGCAGTTCGATTTTGTTGTTATTATACAGGGTGTTTATGGAGATACTATTAATTTTCTTTCAGCACCTGACTGAATATTTCCTATCAATATGTGAAGTATCTTTTAGCGAATGAATGTAATTTCACCTTTACTTTACGCCATTATGTATCAGTTTGAATTTGATAAAGCCACCATCACACACAACTTAGTTTGGCATTGAGCTATACCGTCACATACATACCTCTGCTAGCACAACGTTAGCCACTTTAGTAGTGCCTGTTGTCGTTGTCACAGTAGTGATCGGAATTTTAGTCTCGCTAGTCTGTATAAGTTGCCTTGTGGTTGTTTCGGTTGCTGATACTTGACTTTCTTGAGTCGAAGGGGCGGTTACAATCTTAATATACTGGATCTACGAAGACAATTATTAAGGAGCACGGATCGACGTCGAACTTACCCCTTTGCCGGGAATATTAATTTGATGCAGCTGTCCAGTTACAAACGGTGAATTACCGGAGACCTGTATCACTTGGCCGGATGTGATGATTGGCATATTAGTGTTTGATTGTTTTAAAATAACGCGCTGGGCCAATTTGGCTGTGGGGGCGGCTTGGGGGGCGGGAAGAATTTTCGTGTGCGTCTTTCCCTATAAACCATTGATACATGACACATTTTATGGTTTTTCATTGGAGCTTATTTTGAACACTCACTAGTACTTAGTAAGTATTCCAAAATCGACATTTGTAACTTACCAATTTAAGGAAAATTCATGTTTTAGAAAATGGCTGCCAAATTTGTTTACTTTTGACCTTTATTTTTAAGTGGGCGGGGTTTCAACGAACGCACTATAGTACGACACATTTACAAAGATCAGTTTTAAATATGTTTATGAAAGTGTGAATATGGGGGGGGGGGATTTTAACATACGATTTTAATTGTTTTCTCCATTTGGGGAAGGGGGGGGAGTGACATACACAGTATTTGCAAGTTAAAAAAAAATGAAAAATGAATTTTATTTGGGGTACAGGTAGCCATTTTTGAAAGTGAATAAACACATTCCTCCAAATACGTTTCTGTAACAGCACCAGTATTTCTTATTTATTTTTTAAGCGTGCCTAGCATGACAATTGTAAATGACAACGTGGAATTGTCTTACCAAATACTCTGACATAGCAGGATATTGGCGGTTGCTTCTTCCACTTACATACATGTAAGCAATTTAACTTAATAATTATAGGAACTTTGCTCAAAAATTTGTACAGGGGAATTCTATGTACAGGGAGTGTCCGACAAAACACTTTTCATTATCTTTAATGAAACACCCTATATTTTTATCCTACATTAAGAGAGTCATAGTTACCCACGCCGCCTGGAGGGTCTCTCGATGGGTCCGCATCGAACACAGCGGCTATGTTCAAACTTACGACGGATCTTACCGCGCCGGTCGGTGACTGTACGTACCCGTGCTGTCGAGCCCTGAGCACCCCGCCCCGACATTTAATGGACATGCTGCGCATTACTGGCGAGAACGCCTCCTTCTCCCCACTACTAGTCCGTACAGACCAAATGGTAAAACTTTTATTTTGAACTTTTTGTATTCCCAAAATTAATGAAAATAAGTGAAGCTCAAAATATACTGAAAAATCCTGTACAGTAACATGTTTAATCCGTCATTTTTAAATAAAAACAAACTTTATTTATTGCATGTGTAACGGGAGCCCGTTTACTGATTTTATTTTTTTATTTTATTTAAATTTTGCTGCTACGTTGAGTGAAATTTGTTAATTCAACAGGAAATTGCTACACGTTGAGTAAGTGTATGGATGTCAAACGTTCTGCTTGAACGGACAAATTTGTTTTATTGGTGGAAGGAATTGCGGGCCGGAATGGGTGTCACTAAAAAAAGAAAGGTAGTAGAACGTCGGTTGGAAGTTGGAAACGTCAGGCAATTCGCGTTGAACCGCGAGAGAGAATGCGCGTCGAACCGTGAGAGCATTCGCGTTGAGCTGCGACAAAAGCTAAGTCGACCACATGTAATTTACCACAGAGAAGTTATATATTGTTATCGAACCGTGAGACAATCGGCAAAGGTAAATCGGTGACCCGTAAACAACCGGGGTGGTTTTCGTTTAGTGCGAACTTTCACGTCGAGTCGTTAGCACAGTTAAGTAAACTACATGTAAAATGAGTATTAACTAATCATCGAGAGCTTGTTTTATTGCGGAGAAATTCCGTGCACCGAGGTTTGCGAATTACGTTAAATACAAACAATAGTGGAAGTTTTAACCAAAAAGAATGAAACTGCGTGGCAGTAAATAAAGTTGAATTGTGAGACAAGAAATTAGTAAAACGTACACGCGTGGAAATAAAATTCTATATTCAGACTGCTGTCGGAATGTAGGGGGCAGTTTTCTAAAACATGAATTTTCCATAAACTAGGAAGTTACAAACGTCAATTTTGGACTTACTAAGTAATAGCGAGAGCGTTTTCTATTTTTTTGTAAACACACACAAATTGAAAAGTTAAGATGACATGGTTCGGTAACCAATCAGTTGAACCGACCACAATTAAGCGCACGCGGAATTTACCTGCGGTAAAATTTTAAACGCCTTCGTCTGACTCTTGTTAACCATGATCGCTTGTTTACCGGAAATTTGCGGTATTAATTTTCCGCCAGGCAGCAAGCCAAACTGCTGAGCTTGAGCCATTGTAATGGTCTTCGGGGGACTCTGCAAGAGATTCGCGTGGGTTGCTTTCAATTGGGTCTCCAATTTATCGGCAATCACGATGCTTTTCTCGCCTAAAACGTGAATCGATGATAAATCGTTCGGTTGAAGCAACTGACCAATCAATTTGGTTGGTTGTGTCACTTTCTTCATCAGTAACTGTTTGGGCTGTAGCACAGAGACGCTACCAGAGGGGATGACTTTCGTACCCGGGCGTAATGTTAAAGTTTTCGTCAACGGCAAATTGGCAAGACTTAGCCCTTGGCCTTGTGACGAAACAATCTTTACAGGTTGCGCGGTTCCGTTACCTAAAAGTGCGCCATGTTACCATCAAACACGTACACGGTACAATAAGTCACCTTGCAACAGCAATAACTGTTGGCCTCCAGATTTTATGGCAATCGGCACTTTTGGTGGTTTAGGTGCGATTGTTAAAGGTCGCAAGGGCGGTACGGTTTTTATTTTAATATCGGGAAGAATTTCCTCAGGTGACTGCGGAGATTGTTCCGTCTCGATTTCGACCTCTTGGGCGCCGATTTCGGGTTGTAAAACATCCGGACTCGCTTTACCGTGAAGTTCCATCATATTATCGTCACTCTCTACACGAATAGTAATTACACAACGTGTGAAGACGATTTGGGTACGTACCTGTGCCTGGACTCATTTGTAACTGCTGTGACAACTGTGCTAAGTGCTCCAAATCATTTGTTGTTAACGCCGCTAGGTTGGCGTCGTGCAGTGTTGCGCCCTCGACTGTTAAACTATCAATCAGAGCGCTTGTTCCTTGTGTCGTTCCTGAAAGAGAAATGAGACACATTATTAGTCTCTGGGCTAGAGTCAAGTACAACACCAAAATCGATTGAATGCTTCTTTGAACGCCTTTTTTACCTTTAATTTGATAACCAAAAGTCGATCACCAGACGGAGAAATTATATACTAAGAAAAGAAAATCTTAAACTAAAACCCAGAGATCTAAAGCTACATATCAACAACTGAGCACAGGAACCGAACCTGAAAGTGATGACCCAACACAGTCAATTGGAATGAAGAAATTAGAGGCTTGAGAGAACTTGAATCTGGACCCCAAAGATCCAGAAAACTTGAAGCAGGCAACTCAAATCAAAGAATTGAAAAAGACTTAAGCCTTAGGCGAGTAAGTTTAGCGCATTTTCCATGCATTGATCAGTACTTCCCAAAAGGCTATTTTATTATGAATTATTAATTATTATTAATTAATATTATATTATTGTAACGACCTGATGTTTCAAATATGCGATTCTTTGCCTTTACTCTAGAAGAATCTTTAACCTTAAAATTTCAAAAAAATATCTCTATAAACAAGAAAGCTGATATTGCGCAGTATGCGCATGCACACATCTGATTTTTACAATATGCGATATGCTCGTCTTTACTAGAAGCATCTGTCGTTAAAATTTCAAAAAATATCACCATAAATAAGCAAGATGACATGACGCAGTTTGCGCATGCGCACATCTGATGAATAATCTTGAAACTGTAGTAGGCAAGGCGCTTTCCAACATGAGAAAAATACGCTAGAAAGACTAGACAAAAGGCCCAGAACAGAAAAATGATAACCCCAAATCGACATAATCAGTAAGAAGCAAGTAAAATGTTCAAAGATGAAACGCAAACCTAAAAAATCACTCTCTAAAAGATCTCAAACCATATGTCAAATATTAAACTGTGGTAGTCAATAAAGGGGCTTGAAATTATAAAGAGAAAGTCCGAAACCGAAAAAACAAAAACTAGCACCAGAAAGGGGTAACAGGAAATCAGTAACCAGACTGGAGTAACTAAAGCGAGAACTAAAGACTACAAGCGAAGACTCCAACCAGAACCCAGCGACCAGAAACCGAAATAAAAGTTTGAAACTGGAAAGTAAAATTGCAGGGTATTTGAAACCGAGACTTGAAAAGGAAAAGGAAAGTCCATAAATGGAAAATTATAACACATAACAAAAAAAAACAAGTAAAAAGGTATCCGGTCTAAGGCGGGTAACTTTAGGGCATTTTCCATGCATTGATCAGTACTTCCAAAAAGCCAATAGCTATGCGAGCCTGGTTTTTTTTTGCTAGAAGGATCTATGGTTAAAAATTAAAAGAAATGTCTCCATAAATACGAAAGTTACCATTGCGCAGTCTGATTTGTACAATATGCGATGTATGTTTGCCTTTATTAGAAGCATTTGTGGTTAAGATTTTAACAAAATATATTAATACATAAGAAAATTGATAGTAGGTATGGGGACACCGAGGGGGACACATAACATACCAAAAAGCCAAACTTTTCGTTTTCACCCTGTATCTCAGAAACAAACACAGCTAGATTGATTCTGTTTGTGGTATTAAAAGTTTCACAAAAAGCGGCATTCATCATTAAAAACAGCTGATATACACAGCAGTCTCAACCAAAATAGGATACAGGGTACTACCAGCAGTGAAATACTCTTTTTAATGAATTGAATTGACCCAATGGCCAATAGGATTAATTTTGTGACTGTTGGATTGATGACGTAGGATTTGAAGAAAATTGACCGAGCACATCAATTTCACACACTTTATCCAAAATTCTTGGCTGTGTCCTGAAAAACGTACACACCAACTCCATGACATACTTTCGCCCGATATTCCATTATATAAATGTCAATTATTCTGTCATTTTTTAGGATACGTGATATAACTATGTGTTTTCAAGAGATGATCGGTGTGATTAGTGAGGTTCCAGTGGCTGCCAATTTTTTTTTATCAATTCGTAACCAAACAATTCAAATTGGGTTGTGTGGGCATTTCTGTGAGGAGATTTTTATGACCTTTAAAATTACGTGACTATCCATTGAGGGGGGGGGGGGGGCTGTACATTATAATATTAATGTGGAGATAGCTGTGGATGCCGGGGCAAATGCTAAACAGCTATTTATATAACTGTGTTTTTGTAATTTTTGCTTTTTTTAATCATGAACATGAGAGTCCTGCACCTTATACAGGGTGAGTCAACGATTGCGCGGAGTAACTTAATGCCTTGAAGATAAGATTTTTATATTATGATATAGTTGAATATCCTCCATACTCTAAAAATATTTGGAATTATACAGGGTGCGCGCACAAAGTAGGCCGCCAAAATGGTACATTTTTTTAAATAGAACCCCCTGTATTTGAATGCATTTTTGAATTCTACATGTAATTGTACGTCTTTTGTTTACGTACAAGTGCTAAAAACATTATAATTTAATACATCAAGTGTGTAGAAATAGAACAATTGTCATAACAACGAAAAACTAATTTCAATAAAAGTCCATTTTCAATTGCATTCATTTAAAAGATAAAAACCCACGTACGCGCCTTAACAATGGCCCTTCGAGCCGGATGGTTATTATATGGTTAATATCCGAAAAATTAGTAGGTTTAAAGATAACTCCATTTGTAAGAAAAATTGGGCAAACGCGAGGGCAAACGTCAGTATATTGTCAAAATTATTACTTAAATTTTGATTCCAGGTTTATATATTTTATCCTGGTTTAAGTAAAAGTCAAATAAATACATCTACTATAAAACATTTAAAAAAAGTTGCAAAACTTCATATTAAAGTCTCGCATTTTTTAAATGGAACACCCTGTATATTTTTCTGTCATCTTTTAGCTCCTCCAAAAACCTTCAACTTTTGATAATAATGCCCTATACCTATCTCTGATAGTCTTTGAAACATCTTGGTTTTCCTGGTTTTTATATTCTAATCTTAAATAAGTTATATTATGTAATTTACATAATAGTGAGGTGGGCATGCAAAAAAGGCCATTTTTATCTGCCTCGTCCAAAGCTAAAATCATATTTATTAATTCACTTTTCGAATAATTCATTTAAGTCTATAAAAACTAGAGAATAAATTTTTTTTTTGCATGGCCCCCTCACTATTATGTAAATTACATATAACTTATTTAAGATTCGATTTAAGATTAGAATATAAAAACCACGAAAACCAAGTTATTTCGAAAACTATCAGAAATAGGTATAGGACATTATTATCAAAAGTTGAAGGTTTTTGGAGGAGCTAGATGACAGAAAAATAGACAGGGTGTTCCATTTAAAAAAAGTGGGATTTTTAGTATGACGTTTTGCAACTTTGGACCTACCAAAAAACACCCTGTAAGCTATTTTTTTAATGCATTCAAATACAGGGGGTTCTATTTAAAAAATGTACCATTTTGGCGGCCTACTTTGTACCCTGTATAATTCCACATATTTTTAAAATGTGGAGAAAATTCAACCATTTCATAATACAAAAGCACTCAATCGAAAAATCTTATCTTCAAGACATTAAGTTACTTCGCGCAATCGTTACTATACTATCAAAAATGTACACTCTTACTAAAAACAACCTCACCAACTTGTCGTAAATTAAAAACTGCTTGACGAAACAGGTTCCAGAAATGAATTACATATCCTTGATAACAATAACAAAGTTTTGAGTTGTATCAAAAAATCCTCTTAACGCCCCTAGCGGTCAAACGGTTTAAAATGGTCAAATTCTGATTGCGCCAGTGACTCTGATAAATATGAGCATGGGAGATGCTACAGTCATTGTTTTCCTATTTGTCCTAAAAGAAAGCGTTTATTTTGGTTACCCTGTACACATCAATGAAGAGGGTTTTCACAAAACTTGCTAAAATGTATCACAAGTGGGGGGAAGGGGGGAGTGCAATATGAGAAGCCACGTTCTTTTACTAATTGCAGAGTTAAGCGCTTTCAGTGGAAACTCATCTGTGTCAGTTTCTTTACATCTCAGCAGTAGGAGTAAATGTATGCACTTAATTTACGATTAGTTAACATTTGGTCAGGCAACTTGATTCCTCTTTCCGTGGTTTGGAGAAGATCTCTAGACCTTACTACACTGTTACATTAAACAAAAGACAATTGAAAATGAGTAAATAGGTACTGTCTGATCAAAAACCTTTCAACACAGCCCGTTTTCCATACTCAAACTATAGCAACATGTCACAATTATCCTACTGGAACGTAACACCTTATTTAATAAAAAAATAAATAATGGTACTTACCTCTAAATTTTCTATCTAACCATCAATAAATTAAATTCGCATACGAGTCGAAAGGCAAACAAATATGGTAGAAAGCGAAGTGGAAAAAGATTAAAATTGCATTACCCTACACAACCAACTTTACCTAATGTCCTAATTTGTTATTACGTCGAATATCGGGTACCATAATTTTCACCCTCGTTTTCACCAAATCAAAAATCAATGAAATAGTTCATTTTTTACATGTATTATTGAATAAATTTGAAATTGGTGGTTCAAAAATTACTTACTAGCACATCTGCATACAAACCAATCAGGTAGTCAAGTGTTTGAATTTCAAAATTTCAAATATTTTTTAAATAATCAGTAACCTAACCTAAAATTATTCAAAAAAATTCAAAATTAGCTCAAGGTTTGAAGCATCGAAACTGCCAAGGTAGCCAAGTTACACACAATAACACATAAACTAATGCATAATTTAGTAAAATTGGGCCACCAAATTTGGGATCGACTATCGGTAAGAGTGACAAAAAAAAATTCAGTGAAACACTCAATAGCCTTTCACACTTGACGTAGCTACAACACAAAAAAAAGGCGAAAACCAACTAAATGATCCATATGTTGTGAAACTTATTCCCGGATTGATTTTTGCCGCTTGCATCTGCATCGAAGCGAATATCACAATGAACACATTCGCAGAGGTGCTATGAGCATTTTAAAAACGTACGATCTAAATTCGTCTGTAATTACCGCAGAGTAAATGATAATTGGGTTCCCATGAGCAAAACAAAATTCATAGCATTGGTACTTAAAAAAAATTCCTCTACATATTAGGCGTATAAGGAATACGTGTAATTTTGCTTAACATAACAAACGCAAACACATACAAACCCTATATTTCAATGAATACTAACCATCGATGGTTAACGACATTATTAAAACGTTGAATGTTGTATTTTAATTTTAAACGTAATTCAAACAACACACAACCAAAAATTACAGTTGAGGAGTTGACAGTTAACGTACCAGCGACGGTGCCACTCATTGAATGCGACCGCATGGTACAGGGTGCGTACCAATTACAACTTAAGCTAAATAAACTAACTTAAAATTAAATAAATAATGTATGCTGGGCTTTTCGAGGGAATACACTAAGAGCCATTCTTCTAATTAATCCAATTTTTCAAATATTTCAAAGCGATCTATTTTTATTATGTGATTTAAACTTTCAATGCATTGTCTGTAATGTTGCAAATTGTTGAATGTGAAGAAATTAACATGGCAGTATAGTGATTCTGTAAGATTTTATTAAAATAATCTACATAAATAATGCTAATGCTGTCATATAATTATAGTGTAACTGTAACTTTAACAGAATCGTTACGCTGTATAGCTATACTTAAAAGTTCAGCGGGTCCTCTAATTTGCCGTTACTTTGTATGTGTCGTGGAACTATATTCCGCGAAGGGAGTGTATATGGTGCTCTCTTACACGTGGCCGACTGTGCGTAAGCTATACCTACTAGAAAGAGGGGCCCTGTTATTAACATTTCTCTTATTTATGTGATTTACTTGTGCAATAATAGGCTTTAACATGAACACTGCTGCCAGTGATCACTTTCACTTGTACTTTCCGTGTTAAATTAATTAAAGTCGATGATTGGTGTAGAGCGATGCTTTTGATGATTTAATGTGTTTCTGTACTACATTGATTTATCATGTTTTCCACTTGCATTTATGATGTCTCATTTGTTTTGTTTTTATGAATTTGTTCAACGGCATTTGATTCGATTAGGTACCAAATTTTTATCGTACAATTTGGGATGTTTTATTTTATTTGTGTATTTTCTCTTGCATTTTGTTGCCTTAATTGATTTATTTCAGGCATTTATGTGGATTATGTCGGGTTTTTGTTCCGAAGAAGGTTTCCCTGGTATCGCCAGATTTTGTACATTATATATTTTATATGCATTGCCAACGTACGTGTCTATTCTCATATTCGTACCCCTTTTTTAGATGTTGCATACATGGTGCTTCAAAAATTGAAAATCTATTCTTTATATTAAGTATCCAAAAAAATATATTGTGTAAAGGTTATTAAAATGAACATTATTCCCAACCACATTGAGAGTCGCAAATGTTGCATGTCCATATGTACATATTGCCCGTCGCACTCATAATATTTGAGATAAGTCATAATAAAGTAGATGTATCGGAAAATGTATCGTCATTGACAAAAGTAATGATGGCCGGATAGATAAATCCTGCAGCATACTCAAGCATCAACATTTGAATATATTGTGCAACTTGGAAATGCGAACCAACAAATGAAGGCATCTCCTCCTTTTGTCAATGACCAACAATTTCCGTAAACTTAAAAACGCGGAAGAATAATTTGTTTGCATATCCTTTCCGATGTTGTACTTAAAATCCATTTTGCGCCGCAGGAGCGTGATTGCACTAATTTAGATGGCAATTGAAATAAAACGGTTATCAAAGGATATATGAGGATTAATTTCTTTTCGCTTTCCTCCTACGCTAGTAGGTATATATAGGGCCGATCCTGGACCACTTCAAGGTCGCTCGCCACCTAGCGGTGACCTTGGAAAGTAGATCAAGGTGACGTGGCGAGCGACCTTGGGAATTAGGGCAAGATGAGAGTTGAGTGACACGTGGTCGGTGACCTTGGAAATTAGGTCAAGGTGAAAGTCGCGTGCCACGTGGGCGGTGACCTAATTTTCAATGTCATCCGATAGCATAGACTCCATTAATTGTCAAGGTCATCCGAGGTCATTGACTCCATTAATTTTCAATGTCATCCGAGGTCATCGACCCCATTAACTTCCAGGGTCAGCTGAGGTCATTGACATCATTAATTCCAAAGGTCATCTGAGGTTATTGCCCCCATTAATTTTCAAGGTCATCCGAGGACATCGACCCCAATAATCTTTAAGGTCATTTGTCATTTGTTCTCTCTTTCTTCGTAGACTGGCAGTTTCTGTTTATGGCATGCCACTGCTGATGCAGGCAAAGTTGAGCTCGTAAATTTAAAGGAAGGATACCTACCACACAGCACCCAATATTCTAAAAATATTGCCAAAACATTTCAATATTTTACTTTCATTTCCAATATTTCTGCAATATTGCAGACACATTACGTTTTTAATATTGCTTTTGCAATATTTCCACAATATCTACAAAATCTTCCATTTATTTTCCTTGGATTTGCAATATTTCAAAAATATGTTGTGAGAATGAATTTGCAATATACAAGTGGACGATTTTCAAAATGTTACCACAATATTAATTTATAATATTTCGTACCGTAGTAGATTTTAAATTGAGAACATGCATGTACAATATTTTTTATATGGCAAAAAACAACAACTTCGTAATTTTCCAATAAATGTGTGGAGGTCGAAATGTGCAGGTGCTATTTTTTAAATCTGGTCATTGAATTGAATTTATAACTATCAAATTCAATGATGGTCACTGAAAATGTTCATAAATGCCGTTGGCAACACACAGACAAACCAAGTTGGTATTCCTGCGTCATGATCATGCGTGCAACGTTTGTTGTTATGTCCGACGTGAAGTGTTTGATTTTTCTTGTTAGCTAATTGCAATAATTATCAGTCCACTAAATTAGTAGGAGGGTTGTCCTAGCAGCAAAGAGGGAAGCAGTAGTCCGGTAAGTAAACGATTTGGGGTGTTTTATCACTCCCTATTTTATCTGCACTTCCAGAAATCCAAATGCGTGTTCCCGCCATCGCCAAATGAAAAGAAAACCCAACTAATATTTGGCTCTTTGTGTAGATTAGTTGTGCTTCAACCTTTAAACGAAGGGGCGAAGACAGGGCGATCTTTAGTAAGTAAAAATAGTGTCCTACATTTCTCATTCTAACCTAATTTTCTCGCGCTTCCAGAGTTTTCGTTGTTCATTTTAAATACAAATTTTTTGGGGCCCCTGCATTGTAGTTGTATTGGATTGGTCTGAGAATTTGTTGTTCTAAGGTATAGGTACATACCATACTTTTATACTCGCATTGTAACAGTAGAAAATCAACGAATTGCTAATAACTACTCTAAATGTGTATTTTCATGACCAGCCCCAACCACAACACATTGTCAGTCTGCTCTCCTGTATAAATAAGGTGTGGTTTCCTTGAAACGTCTGTCACGCAAAACCGACCTTCCATTTACTGTTGCAGGACTTACACTTTTAACCCTAAATCGGATACATTCATCAACTAACAACGGGCAACAAACGGTCCGTTTTCCTCAACCAGTAATTGGAGGAAACTGTGTCTATATTCTACAAGACGAGCAGATGGGTGATGTGGTTTTTAATGAGATTGAAATTTTTAGGTGACTTTATGCTTACACTTTACATAGGTATCCATTTAAAAGTACGCAGTAAATAATTGATAGGCATTTGCTCGTAACAAGAAAAATATTACTTAGTAATTTAAGTTTCTATTAAGTGAAGATGCCCAAAAAACGCAAGGTAAAATGTAATGTTTCAAAACGACATGCTAGACGAATTGTTAGAGTTAAAACAATCAATGAATTAGATAACATTTTAAGCGTTGATTTCTGAAGGTTATACTAAATCTGATACAGAGGAATATAACAGTGACTGCCAAAGTCAAGACAGAATGACTGTGTCCAGTTTTGAAGATGCAACTAATAGTGTGAACGTCGAGGTGAACGATAAGAGTAGTTCTAGTTCAATATTCGGTGTCGATGAGGGAGTTCCTGCCCACAGCACAATGCTGGGTCATATACCTGAGCCCTGTGACACAATACATGGCGAAAGTAATGATTTTAAGAGTGTTCTGGCAAATTGGGCAATTGTACATAATGTTCCTCACAAAACTTGCACTGGGTTATTAAATATTTTAAGGTCATATACAATGTTTGATTTACCAAAAGATGCGAGAACTTTGTTACGAACACCTAGAAAAACTTCAGTAATTTCTATAGAAGGTGGGAGTTACTATCATTTTGGTTTGTGTCACGTTTTGGAAAAGATGATCATGGATAACTGCAGTGATGTTCAAAATATCGATCTGCTGCTAAATATTGATGGTCTTCCATTAACAAAGTCCTCACAATCTTCTTTATGGCCAATACTCTGCTCAAACACAATTAATAAGAAAGTGCATATGGTGGCTGCGTATTTTGGACATAAAAAACCTGAAAACAGTTCTGAATTTTTGCAGGTTGTAACAAATGAATTGACTGATTTGTGTAGTAATGGTTACGATGCAAATGGAAAAAACATTTGTGTTAATTTGCATGCTTTAATATGTGATGCTCCGGCGAAGGCTTTTGTTTTGTCTGTGAAGTCTCATACGGGATTTTACAGTTGTACTAAGTGTACTATTGAGGGTCACTATAAAAGTGGAAGAGTGTGTTTTCCTACTGATATGAATGCTCGTTTAAGGACAGATGAAGAGTTTAAAGATAATGCTTATGAGGATTTTCAACTTGGAAACTGCCTCTTAAACGCTGTGCCCCGTTTTGGACCAGTTACAAATGTGCCACTTGATTATATGCATCTTGTGTGTTTGGGTGTTGTCAAGAAATTGATTTCTCTGTGGTTGCAAGGCCCACTTTCAGTTAGAATATCAGCACGTCATGTTAATCTAATTTCAAATTTTTTGATTTCTTTGAAAAATACTGCACCTATTGAGGTGGTTAGAAAACCACGTCCTTTGAAAGAGTTTAAACAGTGGAAAGCTACCGAATTTAGAAATTTTCTTTTATACACAGGTGTGGTAGTGTTAAAAAATTTTGTCAAAAAACACATTTATCATCATTTTATTTCATTGAGTCTGGCTATTAGGATACTTGCAAGTCCAGTTTTGTGTCAGGATATCAATTATGTAAGTTATGCAGAAGCTTTACTTAACCATTTTGTTACTTCTTTTGCCATTATTTATGGTGAACAATATGTTTCGCATAACGTGCACAGTTTACTACATCTGTGCTCCGATGTTAGAAAATTTGGACCACTTGACGCATTCAGCGCATTTC